TTCATATACAGGTAAAACTCTATGTTTTTAAAAGAGGCCTTTCTTGTCTTTTTTTCTTTTTAAAAGAGGAACCTCGCAAACCTTATTTATTTTGAAGTTTGTAGGTTTGGAACTGGTTTCAAAACAGAAGATATTCACAAAGAGCAAATGTGGATCAACCTTCTTCTATTTCTCAAGATATTCCTCAAGGTATTTTCATAAACATAAAATATCAAAGTGCTCTCCTACTCATAACCTGCTACTTTGTGCACTGCTTGCATTGCAAACTATGGTCGGTACGCATTTCTCAAAAATTTCTCGTTTGTTGAGTTATTTATTTATTTATGAACTTGTATTTTATGAACTTACTTGTTACCATGTTTATATTGTGTTATTTTTATGCTTTATAAATTGAATTGATGCAATATTTATGTTCTTTGATTAGTTTGATATAATAATGGAATGTGGAATGATGTTATTGTAGGAAACTTTCTTGTTTTTTATAGTTTTTAATAATTTTATTATTTATTACGTCATCCGGTTCGACCCCGATTCGACCCCGGTTTGACCGGTCGAACCGTGAACCTCTCCTTCTTCCGGTTCATTGTCCGGTCCGGTTTTCAAAACCTTGCCAAATGACCTCATATTTGCATGAGACCACTTTCAGTCAACTCAAAACATCAAACCAAACTTGTTGGGCCCAAATCCAACCTTGAGTTAACCTGGTTGACCAGTTCAACCAGGGTTGACCCAATGCCCTTTAAGAGTCAAATTGGTCATTTTCACTGAAATGACTAATCCACACCATGGGACCATATCCACTAGTCTCTAAACATCAAACCAAACTTGTTCAACCCAAATCCTGGCCCTGGGTTAACCTGGTTGACCAAGTCAACAAGGGTTGACATAATGGCCCTTTTAAGGGTCAAGTCATTCTATCCCAGAAAACAACTTCCACCAGACTTCAAATATCAAACCAAACCAGTCGAGCCTAAACCCAGACCCTGGATCAACCTGATTGATCTTTTGGAAGTTGCAAAACCAAGATAGTCATGTATTATGGATAAGGTTTGTATGCATATCACTCGTGAAGGCACAAACTGAGACAAGATTCTTTATGATAGCTAGGCAAAATTCTGCCACGAGCAATGTAAGAACCTTGGAAAAATTGAATCTATTGTCAACTTGGAGGAAAATTAGAGGCAATCTCCTTGCCTCACTTTCTAGAGTTCATAATAGTGTGAATATGTGCGGATCTATAATAGGGGCAATAGGAGTTCATGTCCCCACAAGTCCGACCCAAAAAATTATTAAATTAGCTACGAAAGTCGTTGTATTGGTTGAAAATCACTTATCTCTAGCCCCTCTACCTCGAGGTTGAGACGACAAATCTCAGCCACCTTTTCATTGTTCGCGTTATCGCAATAAGACTTGTTGCATCCATGATTTCTTAAGTTTTCTCGAAAAGGGGAATGCAAGTATTTTTAAGTAATATAAGGAAGGTTACAGGGTGAAGGTAAGGGTGTTTACTCATTCTAGTGGAATAAAGTTATGACTTCTCTTGTTTCAAATTCCCCTTAAAGATTATGTTTTGCCCTTTTTGCTCATTTTCTTGGCATTGTTTTGGACATATAAAACTTTGATGACGGAAATTTAATAAATTTTGTTCGACTGAAACATATTAACCACTAATATCTTAAGAATATTAATACAAAAGGAATATTAATTGAATACAGAGGGAAATTTAGTAAATTTTGATTAATAAGTACAATCGATGAAGTCCTATACAAATAAGTTCTCATCACAATTAATTATGCGGTGAAAAATGCATGTGAATATCATTAAATTATGAAGGATATTTAATGTTTTGGAAATAAAACATTAAATAGAAAATAGCACGCGGCAATGATTTTTTTAACTTCATTATTATCATCATAGTAAGATATACAACAACAACGTGAAATATACAATAAGGTGTATAATATTTTCTTCAATTATTTATGTTTTTTCTTTCATTTATTTTTAAAACCATTATGTTGTGCCCTCATAGAAAAAAATTCAAGCTCCACCTCAAGTGTGGATGAATCAATCAAAATTACTCAAGGCATGTCTCAGGCGGACCTTATGTAAAAAATCATATTTTGATCCAGTTAAATAAATTTTTTCAGTAGTCATTTTAAGTCCAAATCACAAACCGTTTCGCCATAACATTGATAATGTAGTGTTTTAATTACACTATTTTTTTTTGTAATTTTGGGCAATGGTGCAAATTCTTAAAAATTGACATCTCTCGGTAGAAGTGGGGATTTCAGGACCGTTAGTCGTTTATTTTGCAAACAGATTTCACAAAAAATTTTAAAATAAAATATACTATTTTATGGATATATTTTTATAATTTTTAAAGCCCAAAAAGATTTATATGAATTTTATACTGAAAATTTGAATAAATTATATAATTATATTAATATTATATTATTGTTTTATTATAAAATCTAAATCCATTATAAACCTCTCCCCTTCATTTAGCCAAACGGAGAAACGGAGAAAAAAAGAAGAAATAAGAGAGAAAAGAAAAACTAGGGTTTGAAAGCCATAAAGCAATTTTCGTTAGTCGATCATGTTGGGAAATCACTACCCTATTTCTGATTGTAAGAAATCATTACCATATTTTTAATTTCAAGATTTTGTATATCTGAGATTTTTCTGATCAAATTTATATTTTTGTTATCAAAAAATAAGAATAATTTTGTATTAATAAAACTTTCACCATGCAACTTTTTACATGTTATACAGATTGAAATTATGAACATTTTTAGTATTTATTTGATATTTTTCGCCGAGTGATTTTGAAAAATTAGCAATTTTAATCTATTCAAAAATTTATTTTGACATCTAAAAATAGTGTTGTAGTTCAATTAAAACTTTAGAATATTGTTATACACGATCTCCAATAATTTGGTTATTTTTTGAAAATATGAATTTATGCTCAACAGAGTTTCTATTGTCTACTGTAAAGACATTTGAGAACTTTCTGAATTAATTATTTACTATAATGTATTGGAATGTGATTATATGATTGAGAAATAGCTAATCGCTATTATTGTTATAATATTGTGATAATAATATGTGTGAGAAAAAATAAGTAAAGATTGGTTATTCATTAATATTATTTGGAGACTAACTGACCTATATAAGATGGCGGGCCGATGGACTTTCCTTTAAATAATATGATTTAGTGTTATCATCTACTGATTGAAGTAATACTTATTAGGAGTTATAAGGAGATGATTACTGTGCCAATGGGCAAAGAGTGACGACTCTATTTACTGAGCCAACAGTTTACTGATATTGATACGATACTGAAAAAAACACCGATTAAGCAATGATTTTTTACTTGTTTAGTGTGAATATTGAAATACATGTTATTGAGACATTGAATATATTATTGTACCTATTTATTTTTATTGTATGGATTTAAAACAATTGCCACTGGTTTTACTAATGACACTAGACCTTTATTGTTATCGATACAGACACTAAAACTGTTTGATACTATTGTACTGATATTGAGAATGTAACATAATAAGCATGTAATATACTGAGCATGTGACATATTGGATATTATATATACACTCATATATGATTTTACTGTATTTATATTATTTCTATAATTTTTATCGATGTCTTGATTTTACCACTTTATATGATTTCTATAATGATTGAAAGTATTGATATGAAGACTGCTTTAATGATTTGACACCCATACTGGTTTACTGATTTCTCTATTGTACAGGTTTACTGGCGTTTGTACTGTATTATTTTAATGTTTAGAGATTCTACAGCTAATACATATGAGTTTTACTATTTTTGCATTGATTCTTGATCATATAAATGTTACTGTTATGATTTGATTGTTGACATACATATTGCTCATTTGACGTGTGTTGAGTTTAGTTGTAGGATTTGACTGCTTGCTGGGCTCTTAAGCTCATTATACGTTATTAGGTCAGGGAAAAAGAGCAGGAGTGTGAGATTGATCATGATTCCTCAGATTTTGTTTCTTTTTTTAGTTATTATTTTGTACTTATGACATAATAGTTATAATATGACTGTATAAATCCTGAATAGTGTACATGATTTTTTAAAAATGAGTACAAATGTATATATTGATGTTTTGAACGATAGTTTTATTTCACTAGTATTTATATTGATAAAAAAATCTGGTAGCTCTAGCTATTATTTATTAAAAGATAAAAGAATAATTCTTTCAAATTAGATTTTGGGGCGTCACACATTCTCTTTTCCTGCACATTGCTTATGGCATGTCCCTTTTATGGTGCTAGCTTTTATTATTATAAAAAACCACAATTTCCTAGCCCCAACCTTATTAAATCTCTAATGACCACTAACATGATTATTTTCCTCCATTCAGGTGCTTCAACATGTTATAGATAACAAAGCCAGTTAAACGAAAATTGAGGCACATGCCATTCAATGTTTGGCTTGGCTTCGAGGTGCTTGCTAACTATTTAATGGGCATGGAAAAATATTGTTAGTGACAAGAAATGTCTCAAGGACATTTTGTCTGGTTAAATTAGTTAAATGGAGAAGCTAAAATCTATTGGAAGAAGAAAGAGTCACAAGAAGTATCTCCAAAATTCAAGTTTGAACATCTACTCTTGCGGAAGAAAGTAATGATATTTCTTTGAGGCTCTCTCAAATCACGATTTTCACTTCCAAACCTTCAGAAACCAATCAATGCACGATAAAGATTCTTAAGGTGCAATATTTCTTGGTTAATCCAACCCTTCAAAAAGAAGAAGCCCATCTTCAACAAATTAAATAAGCTAAGGACCATTTCTTTCACTGGAATTAGCTCAATCAAAAACTATGGCTGCAAATAACTAACAGAATGTACCAGGCTGAAATAATGCACTGCAATTGTTCTATAGATGACTGCAACAATCAGATGAACAAAAAAAAAAAAAAATAGCTAATATGAAAAAAAAAAAATTGCTCACAGTTATCCCATTAGCGCGTGCCGTTGCTACTGACTTTTTAACATTGTCCAAGTCAAGACCCCAGTTTTCTTCTTCCTCTAAATAATATGGCACAAGGGAGCCACCATATAAGGATATTGTAGCTGAATAAAGAGGGTATTGTGGAACTGGCACCAAAATCTGCATTCGACAGTATTAAGTGGAGACCACTGAGTTTCTTCAAACTAAAGCACCCAATTTCACATTTCTTTCATAAGTATCAGGCTCTAAAAAAATGCTATAGGAATCATACCCCATCTCTATCATTTCTGATAATAGAATTTAGCATCTGCATAACACCTTTGCTGGCACCATCTGTGAGAAATATAAGTTCTGGATCGCTGTAAAAAGTAGATTAAATAAAATCAATAGCATTGAAGTTCTGGTTCAATCCCCACAATCATAGTTCTATAAATTTGTTTAATATCTTTTAGATTACCTAGGGTATCCATCACGTCTCTTAATGAACTCAGCAATTTCATTCCTTATACCAGGAAGACCTCGAGAATCACTATATGCACCTACAACAACAACAACATCAAGCCTTTGTCCCACTACGTGGGGTCGGTTATGTGAATCCTTTTTTGCCATTGTGTCCTGTTAAAAGTCAAATTCTCATTTAAATCTAATAAAGAAAGATCATTTCTAATATTTTCTAACCAAGTCTTTTTAAGTCTACCTCTACCTTTCTTAACATAAGTCAAATCTAATACTTCAACTTTCCTAACAGGGTTATCGGAAGCCCTACGTTTAATGTGGCCAAAATCATCTAAGACGACTCTCTCTAATCTTATCTTCCACTGAAGCTACTCCAGTCTTTTCATGAATATGCTCATTTCATATCCTATCTCTAAGTGTAAAACATGTACAAATGAGAGGCCAGAAGATAGATTAATACATAAAGTTATTAAATCATGATTCTTTGACTGCCTGAACATGGCATAAAGAATAGTTTAAACTAAAATACCAAGGCCGCCGGAAGTCATTGAAAGGTAATGTTTGGCTCTTGCAATGGCATCAGCTGGAAATAGTAGTGCCACATTTGGATCTTCAAGAAGAAATGGAGCTTGACAGAGTGCTACCACCTGAAATAAGTTTTTTTTTCTTTTATTAGTAGAACCTTCTAAACAAATAATGTAATAAGAGCTGAAATTTCAATCATATTTTGTCTTCTATTAGACTGAAAAATAAAAAAAAGGTTTCTCTATGACTTGGGAAAGAGAGATTTTATATGGTGAATTCCAAAAGTTTTGAGGCCAGAAAAGACGTGTTAAAACAATAAACCTGGCGAGGAAATGTCAATGGTTTCTGCCCTAAAGCATGAGGATTGCCAACATTTGTGAAAATTATCTGCAGAAATGATGGAAAAAAGTGTCAGAGTCAAATGCTAGAGAAGTACTAGAACACAATCATTCTATAGAGTGCTTGGATACAAAAACATCATTTTAGTACTAGGAGATAGAAAGCAGACACGGCTAGACTAAATTTGCTGAAAAAAGGTTAATATCAGGTGTGCATTGAGGGCTATTTTGTAAGCAACAGAACTATCAATTGTGCACCGAATGCTAGTTTTGTAACTTCATGAACTATCTTCTGAAATCCAAGTATGTGTCCTGTAAGTCATCTTATAACATATTCAATTTCCATTAAAAAATGATCTTTAAATGTTTGCCCATATTAGAGTTCCATAATAAAGGTCATAATCATATGCATGGTGCTTACTGCATATGCAGGGCCTGTGGAGGCGTTGATGAAAGCAACCTGTTAGATCGGTCCAGCCAGCCCCTTGCCAAGGGTCGGCTCATATACAAGAGGCAAACCAAGCTGGTCTGCCCTCTTTTGAGTACCGCCCCTGAGGAGATGGGGCCACTAAGAATTCAAATTCAAATAGCTTGGAGCCAAAGGAGGGGGCGGCGGCAAGGGCTTATGTGTAATTTGGCTTAAATGTTTAATTGTTTGCTTTATGTAGGAAGGAGGGATTAGGGTCAGAGTTATGCTTGATTATTGTGGCTGAATCGGGAATCTTGTTTATGGTGCCTTGGGCCCTAACTTCGTCTAGGGATTGGGAGAGATTGATCCTCCTCTCGAATTGAGGATCAATTGTAACTTGCTTTCCTTGTTCAGTTAGTTTTATTCTTGCAATAAAATTATTGTTTTTCTTTGGCTTTCCATCAGTTTTGTGGAGTTTTCTCGCTGTTTTGTCTCTATTGTTAGGGTTTACATGAGATCTTCAAGTATTTCCTAACACAGCCTCATCTGAATTACAAAGATTTGTTTATGGTGTTTGAACACATAGACCTCAGTCTTTAATGGGTACAACCTAACCATTAGAGTTGCATACACGTCCCAAATCATATCACACTAGCATTCCTTCCTGAAAGCAATTCTTTCATATTTAAAAAACAGTACAATTCCACTGGTTTTTGCCTGGATTCTGCCTCCAAAAAACCCTACACACCGCATTTCCCACTTGGTCAATAGCAGTGAACTTAGTTACTGTTAGTATTTGTGAAACACAGCTCCATTATCCCAAAATTATTGTAGGCCCATTTTATCTGTACATCCACTAGGGATATGATGATTAACAGTTCTTATCTCCAAGATGTTGATTGAACCAAGCATATTGCATGCATAAGAATGTTAGGTTTTTAACAAACAACATTTACAAGAAAAAGAATTTACACATCTTTTGTCAGAAGGTTTTTAATTTTAGATAAGAAAGAATAGTAATTTTTCAGTCTTCTTTCTTTTTAATTTTTTGCTTTCAAGTTTATAAATGATTTCAATATTTCCCTTCCATCTTTTGTCAGAAGACTTATCATCCTATGTTGATTTAACAATAATTTCCACCATCTCAAAGGAAAAATTGCTCTCATTCTCACCCTTCTCAATTTAAACCACTTGATGAGCTCACAGGTACAATCCAATGTTAACTCCTGACATGCAAACCAACGTCCACAAAATACACCATCAATAAACCCAAGCCTTCCATGGAAATGAAATATTCTAAGTATTTTATTTCCCAACCCAACGTCCACTTGATGTAGTTATTATTGTGCAGATAAAGATCAGACGCAAAACCTTGGTACAACTTCCAATGCCCTTACCAAAGGGATTAGCTAGCAAGAAATTATTCTGTGCGGAGTCCGGACGGTAAAGAACCGTCCGGATATGCGTGTGCACAGTGTTTGTACACACCGTGTTTAAAAAAATTCAAAATGTGTACAAAATTATATTCAACGTACACACTATATACACTATCAGAACAGTTCTTTACCGTACAGACTCCGCATGGAATAATTTATCCTAGCTAGCACCCTCAAAAGCTCTAAATTATCTCCCGATCAGTGGTGTCAATGAAAAAAAAATCTGATTGACGGTTACAAAGTGTTTAGCACCATCCCACATTTCTACTCAGGCCTTCTTTCAAATTCAATCGCCAAAACAAGTTACATAAACCACTTTCTCCGCTCAAAGTCTCAAAAGAAATCCTAAATTGAAACCTATTCAAATTTCAAAGCAAACAAAGGTGACAGAAGCGTGAAGGGAAATACCAGCACAATTCACTAGCAATCAAAACGAAGAGAAACGTTAAACAAATCCAATGCTTTCAGTAATACAACTCACCTGAGAAGTGAGAGCAAGTCGTATTAAAATTAAAAGATGGAAAGAAAAAGAAAAAGAAAAAAAAAACACCTTTTTCCCTTCCTTCTGCAGCTCGGAAGCCCGCAGATAAAGCTCGCCCCTGACCGCATACGCCACCTTCTTCACATTCTCGTTCAGAGATTCATAATCCAATGGCTTAGGCGGCATGATTGCTTACTCCCACCCCCAAAGAACTAAGATTGCAAAGGTGATCCTGAAATAAAAAGTAATCAAGAACTAAACAATAGCGAAAGGCCGCATATTTCCACAAGCAACGATCGACTCAAAACCTACCAAAATGAAAGATCTTAAAAAGTTACCTTCAAGCCAAATAAGGTGAACAACTGAATAGAAAGGGGCGAAGCAATGGAAACTAAAAGGATGAGGACTCCCCGTGGATAACGAGGCTCACTGTAGCCTCTCCTTTTGTCTGAAAAGACGAGGCGGCAAATGTATATATAAAAAAGGGATATTTGATATTCCAACTTCAATCTCGATCTCAGAGCGCAAATGCGCGAAAATAAGTTCAGGAATTGGGGAGGATAATGGATTCGACGATTGAGTGGAAGAGCGAGAGAGAGAGAAAATAGCACGATAACGAAAGATTGACGAAGACTCCTACAGACCACAATTGAGGAGGAGGACAGGAGAGACTTGGCGGCCAAATCTCCAGAAAGAATAATGTCCGGTAAACCTTTATTGAACTGTTCAAATAATGAAAAAAAAAAGGATTTTTATCAGTAAATGATCGAACTTTCACATATTTACATATTATTCTCCAAAAAAAAAACAAACATATTTACATATTACAACTAACACTTTCAGATCACGTCTTGGCAAGCTGTCTCCTCAGTCCTCCACCAGTTGCGCCGTCTTTTCTCCTTCAACTTGTTGTCTGCTTAATATCAAATCATATTTAATTCAAATAAGATTTAAAAAATTCTGCAAACTTGAATTATGTAAATTTTAAGATGATTAGAATTGATATATCATTAGATCGGGCACGGATCTAGAACCAAAATCAAATTGGAGACCAACTACCTTGATTTCATCAAACTTACAGTCGAACTGAATGTCTATAAAATATGAACCTAATGACACCAAATTCGACTTAATCCGAGCCAAAATGAGTCAAAATCAAAGACCTAAAGCGCATTTGGAAGGTACAATCCATAATTTGGATTAGCAAACGGTTTCCAAATGTGACATGCTGATAGTCGAATCGAGCGACTCGACAAGACAAATCAAATGAGCCCAAATTCGTCAAATTCTGACATCAAGGGATTTAACATCGGTTGTCCATTCAAACCACTCTCAAGTCACCGTTGATCTTTTTTCTATTTACTGGTCATGTTACTCTCAGAAAATTATAAATAGACCTCTCATTTCTCATTGGGGGAAAGGGAGAAGGAAGGGAGCCCAAACAAGAAAAGAAAGAAGAGAAGAAAGGCTTCTCTTACCACCAGACTTCTCCTCGACCACCTCCCGGTCACTGACCGACGTTAGATTTCCGTCCGTCACCAAATTTCTAACCAACGTCGGACTTCAACCCGTCACCGAACTTATACCCGACGTTGAACTTTCGCCCGGCTATCGACGGACGTCGAATTTCTGCCCTGCCACCAACTGACGCCGGATTTCTGCCTGACCACCAACTGACGCTGGATTTCTGCCCGACCACCAACTGATACCAAACTTCAACCCGTCGTTGTATTTAAACCCGACGCCGTACTTCTGCCAGTGGTCGGATTTCTACTCAACACCGGACTTCTGCCCGTCACTAAACTTCTGTCCATCGCTGAAATTCTACTTGACGCAGAACTTTCACCCGTTGCTGAATTTTTGTCCGGCATCACTTTTATATGTCGTCAGACTTCTGCCCATCGCCGTATTTCTACTTGATGTCGGATTTCTGCCCATCGCCGGACTTCTCCCCATCGCCAAACTCTCGCAATATTTCTACCAGGCGCTGGACATTCACCAGTCACCAGACTTTCATCGGACTTCTACCTGACGCCGAACTTCTGCCCGTCACCGGACTTTTGTCCATCTTTGGACTTCTACCCGATGCAAAACTTTCACTCGTCACCGAATTTTTGTCCATCACCGGATTTCTACCTGTCATTAGACTCCTAACTAATGCCAAATTTCTACCTGATGTCGGACTTCTGCCCGTCGTCCGACTTTTACCTGACCCCGAACTTCTGTCCATCGTCAGACTTCTACTCAATGCTGAATATCCACCCGTCGTTGGACTTTTGTCCGTCTACGAACTTTCATTGAACTTTTACTCGATATCGGACTTCCGCCCATCGCCAGATTTCTACCCGACACCGGACTTCCTTCAGTCAACGATCCTTTCGACCTCCGTCGCCCACCAACTATGGTCTTTCTGACCAAACGAATACGTCAATAATGATTCTTCCTGTTTTCACCATGCAACACACTTTGTATGATGTATATTTATTACATCAAGTCAAGGCCTTCCCCCCAATGAAGGGCCTCATTTGTAATCAACTGCAAATACTAATGGATTCATTCAAATTGGGCTATGCCCCATGATTTTTCCTTTTTTTTAAGGATTTTATACATAAAAATCTTGACGTCTCTTATGAATACTACACCTCTCTCTTATCTGATTGCGTGTTGGATCTTCGTACAAAACTAAAATGCTAAAATTTATATATCTCTATCGTCGCAAATATTTCAGGACGAAACAAGAATTAAAGTTCTCAAAATTTTATTTACAGGATTTCTGCTAAATCTTTCTTAAATCCTGTTTGAAATAGGATACCAAATATCCCCTCAGAATGAGTCAGTTCTCCCAATCATATGAACTTAATAGATCTAACAAATTTTGGGAGGATTAAAATCTGAAAACTTATTTTAAATTGCTATTGGTTTTTACTGAAATTCAACAAATTGTTTAATATTTATTGCAGGATTTAAAATTTATTAGAGACAAAAAAAAATCTTAAATTTATTTAATATTTAGAATGATAGGATTAAACCAAGAATGAGACTGAAGGCATAATTATCAAAATAATAGAATTTAAAAGCCCATGAAATAAGATACCAAATAAATCCTTAATAATCTATAAGAATTCATCATCATGACTTCCAATTCTTATCCAGTATATCATTGAACTGCTGAAATCCCATTGGCAAAAACTCTCTAAAAAAAGACAGAAGCATAATTTAAATTAATGGCCTATTTAAGACAAATTTTTTATTGTTTTATTATTTTAATTCACTGCATATTTTTATTTTAGTATAAAATTTAATTTTTTAAAGAATTTTTTATAAATGAGAAGATATAGTTTACAATCAGATCTATAAGAGTGTGATCATCATAAAGAAATTATCCAAAGTCTTTAGAAAGAGAATATTTATTATAATAAATTATATAAAACTATTCTGTAATAAATTGTTTTTAAATGAACCTAAAATAAATTACTACAATTATAACTCTTTATATATTTAATTATGCAAATATTTTAACAAACTTAATGACGGATGCATTTATAATTTTTTTCTATAATAAGTTAATAACGACACATTTTTTGCTGTTTTAAAAATATTATGATGATAAATATTTAACAATCAAATCCACTAAAAGCAATCCCAAACACAATATTGATCTCTGCTACAATACTTGTTTACAAATGCGTTTTATAATCACCTTAGAAAGCAAAAAAAAAAAAAAAATTATCCCAAATGAAACCTTAATTTCATATTCACATTGAGTTATAATTATGGTCAGCATATACTGACCTATACAGGGCGACTAGAGATGTCGGCGATGACAATGGCAATTGCAAGGGGGGTGGTGAGATTGGGGTTGGCAAGGCAAATTATTCTATGCGGGCGCTGAACGCCGTCCAGAGACCAACCAAAATGTGCCACATCATTCTGCTTGGTACCACGACTCGATACCGTGCTCAGTACAGTTCGAGACTGAGCTCAGTACTGTTGATGTGGTGCATTTTAGTTGATATCCGGAGGATGAACTGCATTTGGCATCCGCAGACGACGAAGCTTCACGCATTCTATTTGGGATTCCCTAAGCCCATTACTGATAAATTAAATGAGGAATTTCAAATACCTCAAAATATCACTACATTCACTTTTCATCTAATCAAACATATAAAATTCCAAAAACTACATTTGATTTACACTACTAATCCTTGCAATCAAATAAACCCTTCCGCATAAACAGCTTTCAAAAACACGCAATATAATTCCAAAATAAGCTTAAATATACGAATATCAATGCGTACAAAGCATTTAACAATTAAAACAACAGTACAAATCAATGGGTCTAGTAACATACTTTCCAGGCAGGACAACATGGGAAGAAATGAGGAAAACTTATTCAATCTCTGCAAAACTGGACAAGTCAAAATCTAATTGACTGAAGAATTTGTATTAGAAGTTCAAATCTTGAAGATGATCTACTTGAAGCACTTAGCATCCAAAAGGGCCTCCCCTTCAAATGGCTCCTGGTCTTCAATCATTGCATTGACTCTCTCCTTCTGAGCTTCATCAGCTATGTCTACTTTAGTCCAGTCATAGAGTTCCATGTCATAGCATTCATCAATAACAAACTGAGGAAGCTCCTTCCCTCTGAAGAGCCACAGGCCTTTCACTTTATATGGAGGCTCAGATCCTATCACAAGCATCTTACCAAAGGCGTATTTGCGAGCGAGGTCCATTCGTTGCAGAAAACCACTCACCTTGTTCAGGGTCACGAAGGAGACTGTGTTCTCATCATTGTATTTGTAGTTGCAAAACCACAGGGAGTAGCCTTCTGGGTCATACATTTCCCAGAAACCTAAAGCAAAAAACAAACACAAATAGGACCTTAATTCAGCACTGCACTTTCATGCTTTCCCTAAACAACGAGGAGCTTTCAAGTGAGACCTATATATTACTAAAAACTATATGGTAACTGCAACCTAAGACACCATTTGCAAGAATGAACATCCCAAGAAAGCTTTCAGTACAACATGAAAGAAATTAGCTATATCCACTAATTATGCTGCATCTAAAGTTTTCCCAAGCTACCCTAGTGGATCAAGTACAGAGGAGGCCGGGAGTTGTGAGCGATTCATATCTAACTTAGATTCCTTCTAACAACAATGAATTATTTTGTGCGGACGCCGAATGTTTTCCAGAGCCCAATAAAAATGCGTCACATCACCTCCTACTTGGTACCGCGGCTAGGTACTGAATGACGTGGCTGCATCTAATTAGCATCTGAACGATAAGTTGTGTCCGGTGTCCGCACAGAATAATCTCTCTCTAACAACGTTGTTTTCATGTCCTTCCTTGGGGAGCTGAGAATAACCCAATCCCCAAATACCAATTTTAACTTTTCTACTATGGGAATAAGTCAGCTAATTGACTTTACACTGCAAGGTAATACCAAATGCATTGATTGCAAGAGGTTTAAAACATTTAAAAAAAAAAAAGAATTACCTTTAATGGCAACTTCACGGAAATTAGTCTTTGTATTGGAGTACAACCTTTTCCACTCATCTAGTATCATCTTACTTGGAGGTAATAGGTCCAACGGATTTTTAGGCTTGGGCTTGGGTGCCTCCTCCTCTTCAACACTTTCTTCTACTTTAGGCTTTGGTACTTCTTTCTTAACTTCCTTCTTTGCCTCCTTTGCCTTCGCAGGTTCCTTGGGTTGAGTAGAAGGTTTTTTTGATTGGATAGGGGGGATTGATTCTACCTGCTTTATTTCGCCCATAACTTTGTAGAAATTAGGCTGATTAACCAGCGTCCAAAAATATCTTTCAACATGAGGAAATTCTGATGTAAATTTCTTCGTCATGACCAAAGAAAATCCATAACCCAAGTTGCAGGCCATGATGATATCAGCTAATGTAATTGCATGGCCAACCAAGAAAGTTTTCGTAGCAAGTTCAGTATTCAAAGCACCTAATGCCCTCTTCAAGGAAGCAATAGCACGTTCCTCAGACTGCAAAAATGATGAAATCAAGCTCAGTTATTCAATTAGAATAACAGTATTTTCCAAAAAATTAAAGCAGAATGAAAATGAGAATGACCAGCGCTTCATAAGGCACAAACCCCAGTCTTGGATAAAACCATCGTGCAATATTTGAATCAATCTCAGTCGTTGAGAAGTCAATCCATTGCTCAATTTTAGCCTGCAAGCAAGAAGATTAAAATTGAACTCAATCCTCCATAACAAAAAATAAAAATATATAAAAAAAAAAAAACTTACATATTCTATCAGTGAAGAACCATAGAGAGGATTTTCAGCCTTTAATCGAGTAACTGTATAATAATTAGAATCTCAGTGCTAAATAATATAGGAAGATACACATACCTATTTTATGTTATTTATATATCTAACACCCAAAATATTAATATTACATGCCTACCACTCACAGAACAAATTTGATTGTCCGGAATGAAATATTAAAGTTTATAAGATGGTATGAATGGTAGAAATGGATTATAGAAGTGGTATATTTGAAATTAAAGTTGTATATTGGTGGTAGACATGAAATACTAATGTTTTAGGTGTTAGATAATATAAATATCATGAAATGAAGTGGTATGTATGTAAAAATAATATAATAGTACACGAAAAAAGAACCTTATTGTAAGCATACCATATCGAGCAATTGTATTGCTCTCAAAAACAGATCCCTCAGGCGTCTCCAACACTGGAACCTATATTTGCATAAATCAAAATAAATGCGGATGAAGACAGCAAACTTTAAGAAATATCTCCTCAATTACAAAAATTACCTTTCCTAGCGGGTTCATTTTGAGAAATTCAGGGGTTTTATTTGAGACACCCATTTCAAAATCCTTAACAACTTCAATCTTTACACCGCTGTATTTTGCAGCAATGAGGGCCTTGAAAGCATTTTTGTTTGGCATGCCAGAATGCAGAACCTATAAAATATAACACCAACACAGTAAGAAACATCGGCAAATAGGCTTCTCAATTAAGTGGACATATTACATAGTCGAACTCAATGAGAGGCATAACATAAATAGGTAGAGCATACAAATTAGTTGCAATTGTGCAAAGTTATGAAAGAAAGTAACAATAAAAATCTAACAAAGAATGATACTGGATCACACAGCAGAGGTTGATTCACATCACTTCATTCTGTCATTTCCAATACATTTGCACCAAAATCCCAACTCACCCAAGCCTATTTCCACCCTAAGAAGTACGAGTTCAAAAATAAACAATTTTTACAGGTTCAATACTCATATCATAATCACATATACGTGTATATGCTGAGCATCAGTGACTCGTAGATTAAGCTTACTAAGCTTTATTCAAATCATCACAAAGTGCAAGTTTTAATACTAATACAGGCCCTATGATCAAGGTCAGATTTTTTGGGAAAGATTCCAACCTTCGACCTCTACATAAATAGAATTATAAAATTAAAAATAATTCATAAATCATATAAAATTAAAAAAACTAAGCCCTAAAAGAAAAAAAAACACAATAGTAAAAGCTGAAAACAAAAAAACCAGCTAAAAAAGTAGTTAAAATAGGTAAAAAGGAAAATGAATAAAAAAAGAAATAAAGAAAAAAATGAAAATGACATGTTAAAAAGAAATATAACATTAAAAGAAAATAAAAATAACTTTAAAGAAAACAAAAAAAAATTAAAATGAAAATTTAGTTTAGAAAATGCTAAAAATTAAAAAAAAATACCATGGAACTTAAATCCTTTTATCTCTAAACTAGCCCAAACTCTAAATATAAAAAATTTAAACTTTCTTATATAATTCAAAAGTTTTTTTCAAGTAAACTTAAATTTGAGGCATTCGTCTCATGGGCGTGAGGATATGCCTCAAGGCCTGTGCCTCAAATGAAAAAGTAATAAGCCTCAAGACACTATACATCTCATGGTGAGATGCCCGCATGCCTAGAACACCCTCTTAAGCCATATTGTAAAATACTATTGCTAAAAGATTTTCATGCTCTCCACTATCGAATTGACATATTGTTTATTTTGAATTAGAGTCTTACACTGTTTATACCAACGCACGCCCACCAAGAGCAACATAAGTTTTCAATCCAAACAAACTTAATATAAAGTATATAATTTATCGGCCTTTTCTTATAAAATGCATTCTTTCATAGCCACAACTTGGATGAGTAGAACTAAATAATAGATATATTTTTTAAAAGAAAAAAGATAATTTTCTTGCAAGGATTTTAAGATGATGAAATAAGAAATTCAACCACACATAATTCATTATAGATATTTATTTTAGTACCATAAAATGAGTAAAAAAAGAAATTATTTTCCAAGGATGGATGGTGATACTTAAAAGGTTAGAAGTTTTTTAATTTACAATATGGATTGATAATAAAGATATATTTAGACCTTAAAATTGAGCTAAACTTGATTTGGGATAAAAATTAATAGTTTTGTTAAAATAATTTCCATAGACAAGAACTACAAAAGAGTGTTCATAGATAATGAGGCTTGGTGATATATTAAGGATGAACGAAAAATTGTTAAGGCATAGAAATATGCTATTAAAGCATAATTAAATAATATATAATAATATGTAGACATGCATTAACTATAATAGCTAGAGGCCTTGTTCATTGAGCTTGTCTGGCTTGCTCCAACCTCAATTATGTCCAACCAATCCTTTTCCCTAATAATTATCAAGAAAAACAGAGAAGAAATTACTCCTTAAACCAAATAATGGCCTACAATGTGTCACTTCAATGCTCATACATGAACTACTAACTCAGGGCAGCCATGCCTTTTCTTGGAACCAGCTTCTAAAAGGTTCCATGAACTTGAATTCATTCCCAAAAATCTTAATTTTAGAGCACAAATTTAGGATTTGTTGGACAACAGTAGGTATCTCCAAACTCTTATGTATATCCCGACTAAACCTCCACATCTTCGAGCGTCAAGAGATTAATGACATGCTTGACATTATTTTTTATTTCTATTTTAAAAAAAAGTTAAGAAAGGATAAAATATGTGATTAGTTGGTTCTTTTATTTTTTAAAACTAATTAAGTTGTTTCTGTAACTATTCATAACAAGCTGTATATTTTTCAAAAAATTTCAAAATCACTTAATTTCAACCCAATTCTAGACCATCCAACACCTTCCGTTTTTAACTTTCATGTCCATACTTGCGCGAACCTCTAATAGTTAGATCTATTACTTAGAACCTAGCTTCAATCTTTCTCATGCCAGGTCTCAACGGCCCCTTGAAGATACAGGTATCCTCCCACGCTTCCTCCAGCTCAAGCTTTGCAACAAGGATCATCCTCCTCTCTGCCCCTCCTGCAGCATTCACCTTCATGCTCCAATGGTGTGGTGATAACAGATCCGTCCTCTGCCTGGCCCAGGGATAGGAAGAATTGCCCCGGCATGGACAACAGCGGATTGCACCTTTTACTTGGGTTCCCGCTCGGATCGTCCGGCATGGGCAGCAACGGAGCTGTTTTTTTTTTTTGTTCGGAGTTGGCGCCGAAGGTGATGAAGATGAAACAAAAATAGGCCTTGAGTACATGAATGCCAAAATCTTTTTTTTACGTCGTGTTAAGAGTCTTAAGACGTAGCAGAATAAAAATAAAATAAATAAAAAACAGAACAAATGAACCCAAACGGTCCCAATTCAAGAAAAAATAAATACAAAATCCAAACTTGCGTATTAATAAAAGGGAACAGTAGAAAAACCAACTCCTTCTGAACCCATTAGGACACAGAATATTACTTTTAAATAAACGATATTGTATACAAGGAGAAAGACAACCGCTTCTTCCAAATAAAAGATCCATGTAAAATAAAAGATGATAACACAAGAAAGCGCTTAGATTAATGGAGCAACATTCTACGTAAATTGTTCAATAGAGACAGAAATACTCACCAAAGCCATGACTTAACTGCTTGTCTTCCTGAAGACGGATCTGAAAGACCACAAAACAAGAAGAAAAGACGATCAACCCAGACCGGAACATCGTAAATATATAACGAAACAAGATTTCCGGGAAAAAATTAACCTCTTTTTGGTCGGAGAGAAGATGGTTACTGAGCGATAGAGAAAGGGGAAGCCGCGCAATATCTGCACCTATCAAGAGCTGTGGACAGCAATCTTCTAGGGCGCGTAAATACCGACGATTTCTTATTTATAGAGCTGAATTTATACGAATTGCCGAAAGTACCCTTTTTGATGAGCTAATTGTTAAAAAAATGTTTATCGTGAAAGATCCGTGTGATATTTCTCATCATTTAAAAATAAATAAATTTAAATTATGATAATTTTTTTTAATTTCATGTAATATAAAAATTATTTGATTTTTTAATATATTCATAATTTTTTACCAATTTTTATGAAGAATTAAAATTTTATCATTTTTTCTAATTTTAAGATTAAATTAAAAATATTATATTTGAAAAATGCAAAGCTTAAAATTAAGATGCAGCTCGAGTTTATAATCTTAGAAAAATAAAAATTTTCATAAATCAATGCTCGTATTCATTTATTAAGAAGTAGTTCTCTAATCATTTGGGATAAAAAATAGATTTGATATATTTATTATTTTAAAAATATATTTATAAACATCAAGGGTCTCCTAATAAATGTTCATCAACCATTGTAGAGGTGTCAATTTCGGGTCACGGGTCAGGTTCGGGTCGAACCCGAAACTGATCCGGCACTATTCGGGTCAATCCGAACCCGACCCGTTTTTGAAAACAGGTCAATTTTCCTGATCGGAATCCGGCCCGCTTCGGGTCCGAGTCAACCCAACACGACCCGAATGACACGTTTCCAACAAAAAAATGCTAGTTTTCGGGTCAAAATGGGTCTTTCTCCTCTTTTTCGGGTAAAAGACGGTTTTATTTCCTTTTTTTCGGGTCAAATTGGGTCAATTTCGGGTTGCCCGGTAAAAATCGAATTTTCGGGTAAAAGCGGGTCAATTTCGGGTCAAAGGGTTAATCCAAACCCGACCCAATTTTTGAAACGAGTCAAAATGTTGAACCCGAACCCAAAATTTTTGGGTCAGGTTCGAGTCGGGTTTAGGTCTCTAAGAAAGCTCTTTTGTGGATATTATTTTTAACTTTTCTAAAACATTTTCTATGCAATAATTTGAGTTATCTAGTTTTATATAGATATATAAGGATTAAAATTTATTATGACCGCAAGTCTCTAAAGTTAATTATACTGTAATACGAATGCTTGAGAATAATCTTAATTTAGGGCATCATTGTGCTTTAGATTTATGATTTGATGTCGTTGTATTGTGCTCTAGATAGGTTGTTTTTTAATTTTTGGTTTTATGTTTGGGGCATGATTACGTATGGATGATCGAACAAAAAGTCGGACAGTGCAACATTTCATTCAATTTCATAAGCAACATAACATACAACTTCTTAAAATAAATGAAGAGCCACTATTACAAATTTTTCATAAAACTATTCATGCTATTTTTCAAACTAAATATTTACGTCAATCATAAATCTATTTTCATTCGCACGTCGTCTTCTATAGACATACTCATCGCTTTCAGTCATTTCTAATTCTCTGGAGACTTAACCTGAAAATATTTGTTTAATGGGTTGAGTTTACAATGTAAACTCATTGGATAATCATACTTGTAACATAAAAATTTCATATATATAACAAAATTAAATATATTACTTTGACTTTCTTTTTCTTTTGAAATTGCATGCATGTATAAGTGTATATGTATATATATTCTATATAATCCATATAATAATTAAGTATACAATACAAAGCATAATTGTTTCTTTGTCTTTCTTACACATTAATTTTTCATTATATTCCATATTTCCATTTCCATTACATGTTTATTCCATTTTCATTTCATTTACTATTAGTACAAGAACATCATCTAAATGTATCAATATTTCCATATTTCCATTATATTCCATATTTCCATTTTCATTTTCATTTGTTTAATGGCTTCAGTACTTCACATTCGCGCACTAGTTAACATGACTAGAAAATTTTGAAGGAATTCTTAAAAATTAAAGAAATACTAAATATGATGTTTCTAACTTGTATCTTTTACCTCAAGAAATCTCTTTCTTGCCGAATCGAACTCCCACCAAATTTTGATTGTTCCAACCCAAAATGCTTCTTTTTTCTCTCCCAAATTTCTTTCTCCCCACTTCCAAATCTCTTCCTTTACTTTCAATTAAATATCGCTCACTATTTAGATAAAGAAATATGGAAGGATTTAGACAGAAATGAGGTAAAAAATTTAACAAATCTTCTCTCTCTCGTTTTTCTTCTCCAAGAACAAAATGGAATGTCTATTTCTCAGGTGAAGAATAGTTAATTTACTTCTACGAACATGATCCTTCGCTCAAAACCACGAACAAATCCCTCCTGACACTTTTGCGCTCGAGTTTGGCCTTCTCCAGGCCACGTATTCGTCTCTGTTCGCGAGACCGGCTCTGTTGCAAAAATCAAAGCCGGTTCAATTGAACCGGCCGGCTTTAGACAAGCCGGGTATTACAGTTGGTGAGTACATGCATGCCTCAATGAGATTCTTGTAAGTTTTTTTGGAACTTTTATTTGGTCCGGTGAACGTACGCAACTCTACGTTCGGCCGCCAGTAGAATCGCGCCACGCATTTTCATTATTTACCGCGCGCCCCGACAACCCGACCCGGAACGGACCCAAGATTACTCGGTATTGCTAGGTATTGGTCGAGTTTGCTCGGCAATAATCAATACCTAGCAATACCGAGCAAATACCGAGTTGTACCGAGTTGTACTGAGTTTTTTCTAGCAATACCGAACAAATACCTAGCAATACCGAGCAAATCCCTAGCAATATCGAGCAAATTCCAAGCAAATACGGAGTTGTACCGAGTTGTGGAAAACACGGTACAACTCGGTATTTGCATGGTTTTGGTCTTCAAAGAGCGGTATTTCTTGTTTTTGCAAAGCAATACCGAGCAAAATCGAGAAAATCGTGAACATAGCATTCCCGGGTTCCAGTCCGGGTCAAGTCGTCAGGCCGCGCGGTAAAAGAGTAAGAGCACGTGGCTACATGTTATTGGCGGCCGAATGTAGCTCTACGTCCGGTCAGAGGACGTAATAATTGTTTGTATTTTTGGCGTCTTAGCGAGGAGAAATTATTATGTGCAGACACCGGAAGGTCCAGAGAACAATTAGAACGCAACATGTCACCCAATACACAACATTATCAAGCACTTGTACATAGCAAAAAAATGACGTGGCATGATTTATCTCCGGACGCTATTGGGGGTCCATACATAATAATTTTTCCTTGGCTAGCCATTGGAGTTTGAGGTAAACATCCTGGGTGGATCTCAGAGAGTGCATGAGCGTCTCGATGATATCTTTGGTGACTTGGTGAGAGCACGATTAAGAGGCCATCTATATTCATGTACGACAGTGTGGACATATTGCCGAATTAGTTCATATTTGATTTATAGTTTCATAGCACAAGCAAGCATTTACTGAAATTTCTTCAGTTTCATTCTTATAAAGTTCTTGCATGTTGCACTGCGCTACACACACCATTTCTGTAAAATAATGAGCTCTACTAGAGTTCAGAGGAGGAATATGGCTGGTTTTTCTTCTATATTTGCGCAAGAATAGGGCCGTCAAATTCGAGTCATGGGTCTGGTTAGATCTAACTTGAAATTGACACGTCACTATTCAACCCGACCCGTTTTTGCAAACGGATCTATTTTTCGGACTCGAACCCGACCCGCTTCGGGTCCAGATCAACCCAAACCCGACCTGCTTTGAGTATGTTTTACAAAATTTTTTAATTTAATTTGATTTATTTAAACCTAAATCGAATTAAGATAAAATTTATTTTAATTAATTTAAAATAAACCAAACTTAATTCAGTTTAGGCAAAATAATTTATTATTTGTTGGAAATGACATTTATTTATTTCATAATAATATTTTAAAACCCCCCTAAATCAATCAAAAAACGGGCCAAATCGGGTTAATTTCGGATTTCTGGGTCAACCGGAACCCTTCCCGATTTTACAAACATGTGGAAATCCCTAACCAGAACCCAACCCAGTTGGGTTTGGGCCCAAAATTTTCGGGTCAAGTTCGAGTCTGATCAAATATTGACAGCCATAGGCGAGAAGGATCTCCAAACTCCTTTCAATTCCTTTGTAAATTTGGGAGAACAAGTTTCTGCTACATTCAAACAATATCGTTCTATCCTTATATACATCAGGGCTGTTTTTAAAGGGGATTTATATAAGTCCTGCTGTGAGCACCATCCAGACCTACAGTGAGGCTTATGGGTTCTCTGCCTGAAGCACAGGACACTTAAAGGTGCCACAAACCTTTAGGTAAGCTTTACTATAAGACTAGAGGAAACAACTCGCAGCAACAGGGATCACCAAAGGCACCACCAAAGCTTGAGAAAATTATCCTCTTTAGCTGGAGGTAATAAGGAAAATTATTTATATTTGATGAGTCATTTCCTTGCTCGCCGTTGGGAACAAAGAAAATGGTTTATGCCTGAAGAGCCTTTTCTTGACTACATGACGTTCTTCTGGTTGCATTAAATGATCGATGACGCACCATCCGATTAAATGATTCTGGTGCTGAGAAGGCCAATCATCTCACACCGAAAAATCAGTCTCTGAAATGACCGCTAAAATCAAGAGGATGAGTTACTATTGGCCAACACCTTTTCCATATTCTCTAAGGAATAAGCATAAGGTAGGCTAAGTTTTTTAATTCAATGGGGAGAGTAGGTCTGGGTGAGCTACTGTGATCAAGTGGATTCAGAATTTCCCGGACTCATCAAGGTGATTGCAGTGGTTTAGCTCTCAGTCAGGTTGAGAACAACTTCTAGTTTTTGCCACATAAACCACCTTGCTATAGTAAGTACCAGTTATATATTTCCATGAATATGCAAAAAGTTAGCAAGGCATGTCATCAATGGCAGGTGATGCGGAAAAGGTTGAGATTTGCATCCAGCCTATAGATGGAGAGAGATTCTTCAGTGCGGTGCCCGAACATGTCTGGAGGCCAATCCGGATGCGCCACATCATCCAATGCACTGTGCATTGGGTGACGTGATGCGCCCGGATTAACCTTTGGACGTGTCCAAACACCGCACAGAATAACTTTTAGTAGATGAAAAGAAGGATGCACATGAGCATTCAATAAAAGTCATGCTAATATAAAAACTCGTGATATAGTTGAGTAGGCCTCATAAAAAAAATTCTCCAGCTATGAATTTTGTTGGAGATTAAATGCAATATATAAATATAATATATAGTTTCCATGTATGTGTTCATATAAACCAAGTATGACTGCAGTTATAACACAGAAGCTTAGAAAACTGGAGCACCTGGAATGTCAATCCACATCAGCTGCAATTCAATTTCACCAGTCTCTACATTTCTCAGCCTGAGCACTATCTCTTGTATTATTTTGCCATCCTTCCAGAGAATTGGGCTCTCACCAGCAAGGCAGTTTTGCCTGCATGGCTTCACTGTTCTGATTATGGTGCCATTGGGGAGATCAGCCAAGCCCATCTTTACTGAATCAATAAATGATGTAATCTCAAGTTCTGCATCCCCCATTTTGTCATCTCGGCTGAATGTATCTTTGTCATACACTTGCTGGTTTAGAACAAGAAAAAAATCAGAGAAAATTAGTTTACAAACAAGTGAGAGCTCATTTAATGTCCATCACATAATGCTCTCAGAATTTTCACTGATGAAAAACATTTGTATCTTAATATTTATTGACAATATCTGATTTTCATCAGGACCAATGGCAGTCAAGACTTGGTATGACTACTTTAACTAGCATAATCCTTTGTCAACACTCATACAGTTTTCATTAAATGCTGAAACTGTAATATTTTAAATTTTTCTTGAAGCAAGAAATGTGTATACATTACAATTTCTATAATAAGATAATCATACAAATTCCGCCTACAAATGCATTAATGTCATCATCAGTCATTTTCCAAACATTTTGGGGCTGGTTTTAGGAATCCCCATTACACCTTTGCTACTGCTATATTGTCGCATGAGTTGTTGAACCAAATTACATGACAATTTTTCTATCCAAGTTCCCCTCAATTTATCAATTTTCTTTCTAATCCTTCATAAACCAATTTTACCAAGTTATCTTTTATACCCATTATTATACATGCCAAAATCAACTTAAGCATACTTTTCCCTGATGATATTTCATAGATGCTATCCCTCATGCTCAAGGGGTGTAAACGAGTTGAGTCGAGCTTGAGTAGCAGCAAACTCGAGCTCAACTCGTCTCTCAAAAGAACAGCTCAAACTCGAGCCCAAAGAACGAGCTCGAGCTCGACTCGTCCATTTTCTCTCAAACTCGAGAGCTCGGCTAAAGATGGAATCGAGGCTAAAGCTTTGCTTCGTCTTCGCGGGGAAGTGCCGGCTGTGGAGAAGGAAGATTGGAAGAGCTGTTTGTAGTCGCTAGAGAAGAAAACTAAAAAAAAAAAACGACGAAGAAGGATAGTGCAGACCACGTCTCTTTTTTGGAGAAATAATGGACCGCTTGATAGAGCTTTTCTTAAGTAATAGCTATTTAAAACAGACTGCTGGAGCAGCCGCTGTAATTTTTAGTGTATAATTGTTGTATAGTATAATAATTATATTAATATATAATAACTGTTGTATATTATTTTAGTACATAAAATTTTATTAAATAGTTAATTAATTACAAGCCAGCTGGCGAGCTCACGAGCCGAGCTTCATCAAGCTCAAACTTGAGCTCATTATAAACGAGCTCAAGTTTGAGCTCGAGATCGTTGCTCGATAAACTCGGCTCACGAGCTTGTTAACAAGTCGAATTTGAGATGGCTCGGCTCACTTACACCCGCCTCAATACAACAAAGAAAAAACAACAAATAATAGCTAAAATAAAAACGAAATAACAGTTCTTCCTCATTTGATGGTTTCCCTACATAAAAAAGTCTTTTTGCCCACTAAGTGCAAAAGTGTACATCATGCATAGGAACTACGCCTAAAAAATATGTGTATGCATGGGTTAGAATTCAATGTGCAATGCGAAAAGTTAAAAAATCAAGGAGCATATTATTAAAGAAAACATCTAAGAGGTGTTTTGATAAATCACACATAAATTAAGGAGCACACATAAATTATGTTCATTATTCCTAAGAGTGATAACAAATAGATGTGGGTGAAATTATTGATAAAACTCAATTTAAATAGGTGTTTTGTCCTACACCAGGAAAAAACTTTTGGAGTGCATATATATATATATATATACTAGAACATTCATGACGTTATAGGGATATAAATTTTAGCATCCTAGTTTTGTATGAAGATCCAACAAATAAACAGATGAAAGATAGGGGTGTAAAGTTCATATGAGACACCAGAGTTTTTATGTGGAAACCTCTAAAAAGAGGGAAAAATCACGAGGCTTTGCCAAGTTTAAAGGAATCCACTAGTGTTTGCAGTTGATTACAAATGAGGCCATTCCTTGGGGGGAAAGGTCTTGACTCGATGTAGCAAATATACATCATATAGAGTGCATTACATGGTGGGAGTTGGAAGCATCAGTGTTGATGTGATCATTTGATCAATAGGAACATAGTTCGGAGACGGTGGTTGAAAGGATCGTAGTCGGGCGACAAAGGTCGAAAAAATTGTAGTCGGATGATGGTGGTTAGGAGGACCATAGTTGGAGGCGACGGAGGTAGGGAGGATCGAAGTTGGTGGGTGATGAAGGTCAGAGAGATCGTAGTCGGGCGATGGTGGTCGAAAAGACCATAGTCGATGTCGGTGGTCAAAAAAATCGTAGTTTGGCAACAATGGTTGGAAAGACTACAGTCGTGCGACAATGTCAGAAAGATCATAGTTGGGCGATGACGATAATTGGTGGCCGAGTATAAATCCGACAAAAGTTGGTGGCCGGGCGAAAGTCCTGCCAAAGTCTGACGACAGTCGGTGGCCAAGCTATCGTCAAGAAGGAGCTTGATGACAAAAGAGATATGAGATTTCTCTTCCTTGCATCTCCCCTCCCCCTTCAATGAAGAATGAGTAAATAGGGAGAAGATCAAGGGCATGTTCAGAATGTTTTGAATGGACGAACAATATTTACTCCCTCGATCGTGGACCGTTTATTGAGTATTGGAGTGTCTTAATGATATTAGAATTTGGTGATCTTGTGATCAGTATAGGTACTTTTGTACTTTTGATTTATATATATATATATTTATACAAATCAAACTTTTATTGAACCAAGCATGATTGACACTCTTATTCTTGTGTTCTTTTCGTTTAGTAAACAATTAAAAAAATCTTGCTCAAATTTGGCTCATTTTTTTTAAAAAAAAAAAGACAAATATGAAAAATTGCCTAGTCAATCACTAGCTTTTTTCGTAAACATGAGCTCTTTGGCACTCCTTTTCTCCACAATCCTCCAAACAAAATCAAGCTAGATGAATGAAAACAGACATCCAATTTAATCGATATCAAAATTTGATTCTCCGACACATATTCTCTTTAGGTGCAATTAAAAAAATATACTTTTTTTTTTTTGGTTTCATCGATATCGAAATTTGATTTCCCGAAACATATTGAGATGAGAGCATTTCTACAGTCTAATTAAAAAAAATACAGAAATTCATAGGGATTAAATTCCTCAGGTGTATGCGGATCAATTAAAATGAGAAGAGTGTGATGAGCGTTTGATCCACAATCTTGAAATTAAATATTTTTTTGGGGAAGTATAAAAAAAATTTGGGGAGATGGAGGAGGAAACCTGACGGCCCATGCGGAGAACAACGTAGGGATCGCTGCCACTTGTATCTCGAACGGCGAGGTTGACTCCTCGAATAATCCGAACCCTTAGAAGCCCTAAAAGAGATTCCATTGCTTCTCTGCCACTGTCCAAGCTCCGTTTCCTTCACCGTGACGCTGTTGCTCCACCTAATTCTCTTCTCAAAATCCTCTCTTGTATTCCTTGTGTGGGTCTCTCTGGAGCATGAAGGCAAACACCTTGTGTGCAACTGATTCACGAGGGAGAAAACGCGAGGACCTGACGAGCTTAACCGCCATCACCGGAGATTTCGCCGGTTTCTTCTCGCCAGCCATCGTCGAATGTAACTGACGAATGGGTATAAACGAGTCGAGCCGAGCTTGACGGCTTCATAGCCTCCATTAATTGATGGAGTTACAGGTGAAGCAATTTGTGCTTGACTTAATATCTAGCTCATCGATAATGAAAAAGAAAAAAAAAATATCATTTAATCAATTATTATAATAAAATTATTTTAAAAAATAAAAATTTAAACATAAATAATAAAAATAACTCCATATAAAAATATGATATAAATTTAAATATTTTAAATACTTTTATTTTTAAACCTGTAAATTCGAATATGTTATAAATACATTTTACATTAATATTTGACTAATTAGTTCATCAAATTTAACTCATAAGTCATTTATCGAGTTGAGCTCCGGCCTGACCCATGAACGAACTCGATCCATACAATTTTGTCTATATATTTTAAGCCCAATCACTTCAAAGTGAAGAAATGATACTAACATCAAAATTTAAATAAAACTTATTTGTATTATTTTAAAATTATCCACTTAATTTTTGATAATTTAAGTCAAATTAGTGTATTATAACATAATTAATAATCTATTTATTGTTATTATTTTTATTGTTCTTTATTAATATAGTCTTTTAAATTACTATTAGGAATTGTATAATCATCATTAAATTGATAAAAAAAAATATTATAATTAGGATTTTTTTATGCAATGGCATCACCAACTATTTCCTTAATTTAAAATAGGTATGATTTTATTCATAGCCAATCAAAGTTTTGTTTTATAAATAGAAATATATTTAAAATAGAAATGGCTATTAAAAAAATTTGTTCAAAAAATTTCTATTAAATAATATATGCTAGGTTTATAAAATACCTTAGAATGGAGAAATTTTTTAAAAAATAACAAAATAATGATAAAATTTTAAAATTTTATTCAAATTTATACAAGGGTGTGAAAAATTCTCTTTGAATATTTCAAATTTATTTTTTATAATAAATATTAACAATAATAATAGCTCATTATTGTCATGTGTATCACATTAATTTTATACTTTTAATATAAATTAAGTGACAATAATATCTTAATTTTATGAGTGAAATAGATATTAGTAGTAATTAATAAGATTTTTTCCTTAGATAAAAATATGCTAAAATGTGCTACCACAATAAGTATATTGGCTAATCTTAACATGATTGCGTTAGTATGATTTAAGTCTATCTTATTCAGGGGCGAAACCCCTTCTATGTAGGCCCCTTAAAAAAATATTTTTTATATTATTATTTCGGTAATTTGTTTCCCTTTATCTATTTTTTAGTCTTTATTACAAGGATTTTTAGGCAATTTCTCCCTCTAAAAATTTTAAAATACTATGATCTTTAGGCGATTGTTCCCTCGACCTGACCGGGCAAGTCGAACCCTGCTAGGGGGCGTTGCCCCCTTGGACCTCTGATATATCTGCGAAGCATACGACGATCAAGGATATAAACAAATAAGGTTGATATTGACCCATTTTCTTGTAGTGAAGGGTCGAGCCAGTTACTTACAAGTTTGCCTCCCCCTAAAAATTAAGGTTGGTTTCACACCTGATCATATTCAGACATGATATCACACTAAGGTTAATGAGTATCTATTGAGAATGAAACTCACAAAGGAACACAATTAGGATTTGTTGTGTCTATACTTTTGCATGCTAGGCAATACATTCATCACAAAATAACTTACAACCAAAAAGAAACAAGTTAGTGATTAAATTACTTACTAAAATCAGCTTAATTAAAGAGCAATCAATCTCAAATTGATATGATGAGTTTAATATGAGATTTATTTCATTAAGTTCATAGATATCTGATATGAAGATTAAAGCTTCGTTTGTTAATGCTTTCTAAAATAGCTTTTTAGTATTAAAAAATTTTGTACTAAAAAACTACTTTAAAAATAGCAAAAAAGTTGTCCCAAATAAAACCTAAATGATATTAAAATTATCACAAAGTCCAAGTCTAAGAGGATCAGCTCGAGTTAATTAAATACCAATAACAACGACAATCCCTCCTTTCATAGTAGTAGTATGGCTTACGTCCTCTGTCCAGGCCGCCAATAACATGTCGTCACGTGCTCTTACTCTTTACCGCACGGCTCGACGACTTGACCCGGACCGGAACCTGGGAATGCTATGTTCGCGTATTGCGAGGTATTACTCTGTATTTGCTCGGTATTGCTTGGCAATAACGAGAAATACCAATCTGTGAAGACTCGGTATTGCTCGGTATTACTCGGTATTTGCTCGGTTTTGGTTATTGACGAGCAAAATCGACCAATACCTAGCAATACCGAGCAATACCTAGCAAAATCGAGAAATACCGAGCCATCCTGGGTCCGTTCCAGGTCGGATTGTCGGGGCGCGCAGTAAATAGTGAGAACGAGTTGCGTGATTCTACTGGTGGCCTAACGTAGACCTATGTCCTGTGACCGGACCAAATAAAAGTTCCCTCAAATGACTTAAATAGTTTCAACTTTGTTTCTAATACTTCCTTTAGATCATTATGAGTTGGATCTAGGAGCTATTACTTAATTGCACTATCTTGATTTCAAATTTGTTGAAAATGGAGTTCAAAAAATCTTATAATAAATTCCATAAGTTCTTAATACAAATACTCATATGCTTTAAGATCTAAAAATTACACCAAAATTCTCAATTAAACAAATAAAGTTTTCAATATCTTATCAATGATAACATTTTTCCTCTAGCCTATCTATTGCTCTTTCTCTCTTCCATCTTTTAGCTTTCATCTATATATATCTCCTCTTATTTCTTTTTATACTCTCTTTTTTTTTTGAACAATCAGCTCTCTTTTTCTCTTTTTTAGGTACATATATTTTTGATTATTTTGTATATCTCTTGCACCTTTTCTTGACGAGAATTATGTGCAAACTCTTGTATTCTCTCTTACTATCTAATAAATTGGGCTATTTGTTTAATTTTTTAATTTTTTTGGGGTTGGTTAGGAGATTCGAGCATGGATCAGCGGGGAGAAAGATATTCTGTCAACCAACGAGCAAAAACTTGATTTACTAATTTTTTCATTTAAAAAATATTAATGGTGAGATGAAATTACCAACTTTAATTGGAGTGTTGCTTCATAAACTAAAGTACAATAACATCTACATATTCACAATCCCAAAAGAAACAATGATGAGGCTAAATATTTTATATACATCCAAGTGAGAGAAGAGAGTCATCATCATATGATATATACTCTTCGAGCTTAGAATTGCAAATTCCTCTATACAAATTTTTCCATCATAATGGAACTCTCAATGGTAATATTATGATTGGACCATCAACTATGTAAATCTGCTACATTTTTTATGACTTTTATTTGATCTCAATGAGTTGAATTTGTTAGGGAATGATGAATCAAACACAAAGATAAATGTTAAATCACGATTTGTAAAATACAAACAAACACAAAGAATTTACGTGGAAAATCCAAATCTGTGAAAAACCAAGGGGAGGAGGGAGAACGGTTTCACCAAACGGCTTACGAAACCCTAAGCTTTTTACAATAAATTTATAGGACAAAATTAGGACAACGGAAAAAACAAACGGAATTCCAAAAGTATCCTTACAATCAAAATTTGTTCGGGGGCACCTGCAGGGGCGCTACCCCCTTGGATCCTGATGCGAATGCTACCTGATGAAGAATTACAGGGGAAGTGCCACCTCAGCCCACGTGCCACGTTCGCCTGCTTATAACCATTTTTATTTACTGCTTTTGCAATTTCTTTACTCCTTTTATCATTTTCTAAAAGTATTAGTATAGTATTCTCAGCTTAGGTTATATGTTCCCTGTTTTTCAGCCATAGAGGCATATAGAAAGTTATCCGAATCCTTATAGAACAATTTTACTGTTCCATTGCTGTGTAGTTCTTGCTTGCAGGTCAGCGACTACACCAGATCCTCGACATATCTACAAAGTGCACGACGGTCAAGGACATGAACAAATAAGGGTCGAGCCAAATTCGAAGCAACTCCAACAAAATTATATATCATCTACTTTTAACACAACCACACCTGAGAAGCAAATCAACATTGTCTAGGATTTAGTTGCTTACAGTGAAACCATGTTGAACATGATGAGATCAAAGTCCCTTATTAAGCTAAACTCCAACTCAACCAAAGTTTTCTGTTTCTTAGAACTTTTGACATATCTGTACTTATTAATCGTTATAATCAACAGAACATACAATCAGTCAGGTAGGCTTTCTGTCACAGTTTATGTCGGTTAATCATAAAAAAAAAAGTCTTTTTTTATGCTTGATGAGATCATTTTCTCTGTAAACAAATGCTGCAACTTGATTTTTATTTCTGTTTCCTTAATTCTTTAATCATAGGGATCTTGACTTAAGTTATAAGCTATTATTTATTACAGGTTGTTAAAGCATCCACAGCAATTGACTATAATCTTATGTTCTGAGAGAGATTTTTTCCTGCTCACACGATCTTGTTCAAAATGGACAAAACTTATAAAAATATCATCAAAGCTTACATACTTTATTCACATATAAATTTTTTTTATCAGCTTTTATAAAATATAACAGTCCGATTACTTTGATTGTTTTAAATTCCACTTTCTCCTTCAAAATGACACAGATTTGAAGTCATATACAATTCTATATTACTTCAAATCTGCGCAGATTTTCAGACAGAGATAATAATACTAAACATATGAACTAAAAAGTTTCTAACTATGCTTCGAATACTTCATTTAGAATTTTAGATCATTATGGCCTGAAAACCTTTTTCATGAGAGAGAAGTAATTTCATCTAAGAATAAGTTTTTTCACCATACTATAATGTTTGATGAATGTTTTTGCATGTAGAATGTATTATGTTCAGAGATATGTATGATTCTCCTTTGTTGATGATAGCTTAGTGTCACTTATAATTGATATTTCTGGGGTACTAATTGTTAATGAATAAGGCCACGTCAGCAATTCTTTGTACTTTCTTGAATAAGTTTTATTATAAATACTGTTGTATTAGTTTGTAATAGGAAGATAATAGAATTTTACTTTCTCTGTTTTTACCGCTGTTGCTTCGTTCTTCTTCCTCCCTGTTCTTCCCATCTCGGGTTCAAGAACTCATCACTAATTTTGTTCAATAATTCTCTTTATTAACACTCATCATAAATCAAATTCCCGGCAATCTCGGGAATCTATATTTATAAAAAAATATATTAAAAATTCACATATCTTCATTTAGGTTTTTTTTGGGACGACTTTCTTTCTGCTTTTTAAAGCAGGTCTTTAGTACAAAAATTACTGAAAAGCTGTTTTAAAAAATAGAAAGAAAGTCGTCCCAAACGAAGGCTTAATTTGAGTCTGGATGCAAAGCTGCGTTTGAAATCCACACCTGACACCTAATAAATTCTACTTCTATAGACAGCAGAGGATCTAGTCAGGCAGGCTTTGTCTTGTTTTATGTTGGCCAATCCTAAAGAACTAAATGATACTTTTATGCTTGAAAAGATAAGGTTTTCTGTAAATAATTGCTCCAACTTGATGTTTATTTTATGTTTCTTTAACTCTTTAGGGATAAACTAATATATAACAAAACATGGAGAACACTTTGACAATTAATTGTCATAATTCGTGGCCTCCACTTCCTCTTCAAGTCAAAATTTTCCCTCTCAAATAAATACTCAAGAAACCCAGCTCATTTTTCCAGCCCAACCTTAACTTGAAACTTCAGTGGCAGAAAATGGAAGAATTTCTCTGTCATGATGAAACCTTCAATTCCATCCAGCTTTCCATCCCTCTTGACAATGAAAGACAAATCTCAGTAGATCCCCAATCTCTAAACCTTCCAGCTTCTTCTTCCTCCACACCATTATGGAGCTCCAGAAAACAAAAGAACCAAAGCCATACCATTATCTCCATTTCCCATCGCTTCTCTGCAGAGCTTCCAGAACTTGCAAAGCTCCACGCTCTCCAGCTTCGCAGAAGCAAGTCTTGTGGAGATGGAAGATCATCTTCTCCTTCTGATGATTTCGATATCATGTCGAAAAAGCCCACCATTAATCACCAGCAATATGGCGTTCAAGTTCTCTATAATGACTCAAGCAACAGCAGCTCTGATGAAACCGACTTAGAACCCAATCCATCAGAAGATGAAAGATTTAAATGTAGTGCACTGTGTTTGTTCTTCCCTGGTATCTACAAGAAGAAATCAGTGCTGCAAACAAAGACTGATTCTCATAATAACAATCTGGAAGCTGTAGATAGAGGAAGCAATCTTTCAAAAGTAGCTTCATTTGAGAAATTTGAGTGTGGTTCATGGACTTCTACAGCTAATTTAGATCATGATGAGAGTGGACCGTTATCATACTTTGACCTGCCATTGGAGCTTATAAGATGCAGTGCAAATGAGAGCTGCTCACCAGTGAAATCAGCATTTGTGTTTGATAAAGATTTAAAGGGGGTTTTGAAGAAGAATTCTGTGTCTAGATTGGGGTCAAGGAAGTCTTGTGAATCTAATAACAGGCATGTAAGGTTCTCAACTTCTTCTCCTACTTCATATCCTGCTTCACCTAATTTATCTCCTTGTATTACACCAAGGTTGATGAAGGCAAGGAATGAGTTCAATGCTCTTCTTGAAGCTACTAGCAAGGGGTGAATTTTTTTACTTTTGTGTTGTTGTTGTTGTTGTTGTTGTTATTTACTTAGGCTTGTTATGTGTGAGAGGTTAATTTTTCTAATACCCCCACCTATAATCAAGTGGCAATGAATTTCATTCCAAATTTAGGCTTAGTTTACATTTTACAATTGAATGAAGGATTGTAATTTATTTGCCATATTATTGGGTCGTGGAGATACGCTGATATTAGTATTTCTCTTTGTTTTAATAACAAAATTAGAAATAATTTTTTTTCTTATTTTCTAGTCTTGTTTATTTGTTTATTTCATAAGCCTCTTTTTCAAGATGAGAGCATCAATTAGGGGTGTCAATTTTTGACACGACCCGAGCCCGACCCGGAAAAATCTGGGTTCGGGTCAACCCGAACCCGAAACTGGTCGGGTTAGGGTTCAACAAATCAACCCGTTTTAAAAATCGGGTCGGGTTCGGGTTGACTCAGCAACCCGAAATTGACCGAAAGTGACCCCGAAAACCCAAGATTGACCCGAAAACCCAAGATTGACCCGATTTTGACCCAAAAATTGAATATTAACCCTATTTTGACCGGAAAATTAGCAATTTTATGTCAATTTCGGGTCATTCGTGTCGGGTCAGGTTGACCCGGACTCGAATCGGGTTGGATTCGGATCCGGAAACCTGACCAGTTTTTAAAAACGGGTCGGGTTCGAGTTGACCCGAACTGTGCCGGGTCAGTTCCAAGTTTGACCCGAACCCGACCCGCTAACCCGAATTGACACCCCTAGCATCAATAATAGCTTTTAAAAAACGTTCAATTTATCTCTATAGAACAAAAAAGGGTAAGGTACATGCAATAAATCAAATGATAAGATTATCTAAGGTATCGTTTGGGACAGCTTTTTTATTGCTTTCTAAAATTATTTTTTTATAAAAAAAATTATTAATTATCACCCTATACCTAATTTCTTGAAATTTATTACCTATCTTTGCCTAACATCTATCTTATGAAACCTGTCATCATCTACATAACAGATGATATGATTATATTTCCTCTCTTATTAGCACATATAAATTAACATTTTTTTTATTCACATAAAATGTAGCCTCTCTATGTACCTCTTTTGAAGCTTAAAAATTTTTGTGATTGCTATGTAACTTTTGTGTATTGTATTTAAGATATTATGTATATTTATTCTCTATCTTTATCTGATTTTGCTCATAATTTTATCACTACCCAATCATACCACTTTTTTGACCCTCGCTTGCAGATTTAGTTGAATAGAAGAGAAAAATAAGTGATGTCTTTCAACACTAATGAACCAACTTATTATACAATACTTAGAAGTAGCAAGTACTAAAATTATAAATGTTTGATAAATGGTGGTAGGTAGGGGTGTAAACGAATCGATTCAAGTTCGAGTCATCCCTCGCTTGAGCTTGATTAATTAATCAAGTTCGAGATTAAGCTAGAGTTTTATTCTACGAGTTCAAGCCCGCTTATGAACTGATTCATTTATTATGAAAAAAAGAAAAGGATTATAATTTAAGAAATTATTATAATAAATTGATAAAAAGAATGAGAAGTTATAAGAACAATAATAAAGAATTACTTAATATAAGAAATTGAGACGTAATATTTAAATATTTTAAACAATTTTGTATTTAAAATCCTGAATTCTAATATATTTTAAATATTTTTATATTAATGTTTTTTAAATGAGCCGACTCACGAGCTTACAAGTCAAGTCGGGTATAGCACAAACTTAACTCGCTAGCTCATTGAGCCCGGCTCACAAACCATTTATCAAGCAAAGCTCAACCCAGCTCACAAGTTGGTTTTGACTATCTTACACCCCAAGTGATAGATAACAATATGTCATAACCTAAGATAACAATATAATAAATCATTTCTATGGCTCTTTCAATACAATTCACTTTCCTAAGATACTCTTTGGTCTATGATACAACTTTTGTTATGATCTGGCCTAGATGTTCGAATTAACGAGACGGGAACAGATGACCGGATGGTCAACTAGATTTTCAATTAATAACTAACTATTTCTAATCAACAAAAATAGCTACTAAAAATCTTAAATTTGAACAAATTAAAATAACATCATTTAAATACCTTTCTTTAGGTGATCCACGCCTATGATACACATTTTCATCTCTTCTATTCATCTTGATTATATTAAATTATACTTGAAAAATATTAGAACAACTAAAAATAAGTCATAGCTCAGCGAGTAAAACATGCTTCTAAATTATAGTAATTTAAGGCAATTGAAACAATATGCATGATCCTTTTTTATTTCATAAAATAATTAAATTTAATCATATCATTTCATTTTAATACTTTCAATGTTATGCATAAATCATATATGTCATATATATCTATGTATTCATTTCTTTCTTATTTTTGATAAATAATTAATACAATCGTCACAGGAGTCACCCTCTAATTTAGTGTCAATGAAGGTACTCATTTTCCAAATTTTTTAATTTTTCATAACCTTTTTCATTTACATGCATGGGTACATTACATTCCAATCCAATAGAATAAGAGGATGAGCTCCATCAGTCAACAGACGCATATAATCACGTATTTCTAATCATTTCATTCAGATTACATTCCTTTACTTTATGCTTTATGCATTAATGTAAAATAAATCATTTAATATGCGAGAGATGAATTATTTGCAATGCACTTTGAAAAACAATAAGATAAATCATTTGTAATAACAATTTAATACAATTAGAAACAATAGAATTACCATAATGTAGAAACATGCATATTCACATGAACCTAAGTTTCTTGTTTCTTCACTCTTACTCCTTGCTTCGACGTCAATAGATTATTACCTATATAAAAGAATTTCTTATTAACAAATCTAACTTAAAACTTTAAAATTTCTTCTCTTTTTAAATATACTTTAAATAATTATAGAATATTTCACTTAAGATTTTATTTATTATTAAAATTTAAAATACATGTTGTGCCTTCTCTCTTTCTTTCTTTAATTTACTTATTAAAATTGAATATTTGTTCTCTTTAAATAATATTTTCTTAATTAGCATTTGCAAATAAAATAAATCTATTTTTTATTTAACTCTCATAAATTATTAAAATTTCATATGAATATAAACTCTCCATCCCTTTATATATTTTATATTTATCATTAAATTGCTTTGATATAATTATTTTAGCTAAAATTTTCTTAATAATGTTAATTATTTTCATTCTTAAGAAATTCATAAATTCATTAAAAATTTCATAATATCATAATTTAATAAATAATAATTAGACATTAGGTAAGATCTTAAGCTTATTAAAAATTAAATAGATATATTGATTAAACATAAAATTTAAAAATAAAATAAATAAAATAAAATATCATACCTTGCTCTACTTGCGTCCGCCATTTTTATTAACTGGCCGGTTCACTTGAACCGATCAGACCGGTTCTTACACAATATTTAGAGGTTAACTAAAATATGTTAGGAAAATGATGAGCAATATGCCTTATTGGGCAATTTAAAGACCCATTGATTTGAAGCCTATTCTCTTAGATTTTTTCAAAGGCATTGGATGAATGACACGTGGCATGTGAAGACACATGTCATCCATCCAATGGCCAAAAGACTAAGTTTAGACAATGTGTTGACCAATAAAACATTTTTATATTTCTTAAAAATAAATAGTCAATGGCTTCATTTACAGGTACAGAAATAAATTAGCATATCTGCCACTACACTGCATCAACAGTTCAAATTCCAGCAAAAGAAAGTAGGGGAAAACAAAGCTGTGAAACACTAGAGAGTCCTACAAAGCAAGTGAAAGCTTCATCTCAAAGCTCCGCTTTTAAGCATCCATGATCCTCCGCTAGACAGGCAAAGCTCATTCATAACCTGCTAATACAAGAAGGAAAAATGTCATGTAACTGTTTTCTCTCTCGAAAGAGCTTATATCATTTAACATATAACAAATCAAAAGAAACTTCTATGACCTGGGGATATTATTCTGTGCGGAGATCGGATACAAAACGCCGTCAGGAGACTAATAAGAATATGTCAAATCATCAGTACTGAGCTGCGGTACCGAGCAAGAGGTGATGTGGCGTAGTCTGGTTGATCTCCGGACGGCGTTCGGCATCCGCACAGAATAATTAATCGCATTTTCCACACAATTGGCCAGGAACCATTCATTAAACCGTGAAGGTTCTCTTTGAGATGAACTTTCAAGGTTGAACTATTGTGACGCAGAACTGGTTTAAGCAGCTAGTAATATACATGCATTGCATATTTAACAGTGAGAGCATGTTTATTTAGTGCATTTTTTATATCTTTTCATTTCTTGTTTTAAAAATAAATGATCTTGTCATTAAAAATAATGAAAACAACTATCACCACCACTCTGACGACCATTGATCACTAGCCACCAATGCCGCTACCATCGTCAATTCCATGCAGAGTCTCTGCCGGTGACCGTTACAATCATCATATGAATAAATTTATTCAACATTCAATAGAATAAAAAATATATTTTTTTTCAAATATCAAATACATTTTCTTTCAAATTAAAATATAAATAAATTTAAATTAAAATGAAAAAATAAAAATAAAAGAGATCCAAAATAGCTCCTTACTCTTTGGGAACAATCAGATAGTGTAACACACACTATGAATTAAAATTCATCACCGCGCACTATATGTGAAATCAAGAACACACTGCAAGGGTTTGAAGCAACAACTATCCAGTTAAGACTTTGACACCAGCAATTCATTTGGAAATAAACAATGGATTTCGTAATACTCCTATAACTGAAAGTTATTCTACAACAACAATAACAACAACATCAAGCCTTTGTCCCACTATGTGGGGTCGGCTACATGAATCATTTTTTCGTCATTGTGTCATGTTAAAAGTCAAATTCTCATTTAAATCTAATAGAGAAAGATCATTTCTAATATTTTCTAACCAAGTCTTTTTAGGTCTACCTCTATCTTTCTTAACATAAGTCAAATCTAATACTTCAACTTTCATAACCGGGACATCGGAAGGCCTCCATTTAATGTGACCAAACCATATAAGACGACTCTCTCTAATCTTATCTTTCAGTTATTCTAATGAGGACACCAGTTTTCACGTACATAGAGGCTAAATTTGAATTTGCGTACCAACAAGTTCATAAACTTGCCACAAGGCGAAAAGTTATCTAATATGTTAAACAAATGCAAATTTCCACTTACCATACTATATTCAGCATCCGAAACATCCTTTTTCAAGCGATACTGAGCAGCTAATTTTATTTCCTGCTTCTTTACTTTTGCATTACGTCCCTTGCCAATTAAATATTCAATGACAACATGCCTGACAGAAAAAAAAAAAAAAAAAAAAAACAGATTATAGTGATAGCCTGCAAAGCTTAGAAATCTACTAACATAGGCTTCGTTTGAAATGGCTTTTTTGTTGCTTCTTAAAACAGCTTTTTAGTTTAAAATTTAAAATTTTTATACTATAAAACTGCTTTAAGAGCAATAAAAAAGCCGACCCAAACGAAGTTATAATGAAACATAGAGCCGCAAACAACAAAAACCTGAATTTATCCAGTGATGGTTTTCCCAAAGACTTCAACACATATACGTCATGAACTTTCATGGCAATTTGATCTGCAACATTCTCAATCTCAGGCAAGCCAGCATTTGCATTTCCTTGCAATCCTTGAACGATTGAATTAAGGCTGCAACATGCACGTATACAACTCCATATCAGCTTTAGTATTAGGGGATTCTCGAAGGTTGCACATTAATTCCTAGTTATCACTCTTTGACACACGGGAAAAGGGAAAAAAATATGGTAGAACAAATTTAGCGATCAACTCACACATCGGTTAAAAACAAACAGGAAAACAAATTTAATGGTCAATTCATGATTGTTTTTAATTTACAAAAAGTTTCTTGGACATCTCAAAAATGGTGTGAGCAAATGTCGCACACAAATTAAACAATTTATGGAAATCTTAGTTCATACCAAATTAACATAGTTTTATTCTAAATCTCTCTTGATATCAATGTCAAAACTTGTATTCTTAAGTTTAAGCTTCACAATGAAATTTTTTGTTTACATTTTGATGTTGTTGTTGTTGTTGTACATTTTGATAAATGTATGTATGAATGATCACGTCAAAGGTGGATAGTGCCCAATACTTATCAAATTTTCCCATATCATTGTGTCTGGTCATGCTTGTCCGATGTCCTGTGTTGATGCCATGCTTTAAAGTTTGGTTTAACACTCATTAAAAAACTAGATAAGCAGGCTGGAGACATCGTCAACTATAAAGGGTAGAATAGTTCATTTTAATGAACTGGTCCAAATTTTCCAAGCTGGCTTCATAAACCGAAATACATATTACAGGTATGCAGAGAAAAGGTTCCATAAACCGAAATACATGGTACATCTAATTACCTGAGAACCTTGTAAGTGCGTAGAAGTTCCAAAATAGCCTTTTCAAGAGCTTCTTGGCCCTTAGTTGGCATGGTTGAAACTACAGAGCTCCGCACATCATTTCTATCTTTATGGTGTCCCAGCTCAATGGAACCTTTGGTTATGGATGATGTGCTCGGACTGACAGAGCTCTTCAACGAAGAAGAAATGTTTTTTCCACTACCATGCAAAGATTCCAAGATTTTCTTCTCACGAACAGACCAAGCTTGCTCTTGCTCTTTCACGATTTCAGGATATTGCTTGATAAACGACAAATCTCTATCTTCTTTAAATTTCCAGTCTTTAAGCAAAGATCTTTCAACAGCCAATGGCTTTAGCAAACTTTTTCTAAGATCTTCAGGTTTAACCAACTTCAGTATGCTTTCATGGACAGCATGTTTTTTACTAAATTGAAGAAGTATGTAATCTCTATAAAGAGCTGAAAGTCCATCATGCAACAAAGAACTTTTAGAAACCCATAGACCTTGTACTAAATATGCATGATGCTGAAGAAGTTTAAGAACATCCTCCACAGAATCATTAGGTGCAAGATGCAACAAAGCAACAAAACGGTTCACTTGAGGGCCCTGCAATGCAATAGAAGAAAAACAAGCCTTAAAGGTAATAAATCAGACATGAAAGACATATCAGAACATGCAGGCATTTCTCCCACCACCGAAATGGAAGCAGGGAAAAGAAAATTTTAGCAGAGATGATCGAAACAATTCTCATAGCAAGAAAGAGCGTGTCGTGCACATACCCAACCCAACAGAAGTTATGTTAACACACAAATTTGAATCACTTGAAGTAAAGTTATAACTTGAACATAAAGAGTTTGTGTAGGTGACAGTGTAGGTTTCTAGAGGTATTGGATATCTAAACTGAATCAGTTTGCTAAGTTTGGACATCAAACTCAAATGGAAAATTCCTTCGGAAACTCAAAATTAAGGTGGCTAATATATTAAAAAGATAAATGAGATCAAAATTAAAAAAATCTGACCTGAAATAAAAACTAGAGAGATATTTTGTGTTGGAAAAAAACAAACTCAAAGAAAATGCTCAAAAGAATGGTGATGATTCTGGCAATGGGACAGCATGCCCGCTCAGAAGAAGGCTGGCAATCAGCACTAGCAAATATTTGTTAACAATCTGGTTAAATGTTATCATATCATTGTAGTCAATATGCAACACTTGAAGTCACATGACATGGTCCAGCCCAGGCATCTCACAAATCTATAATTAGTTGACCAACAATTTGCTTTAAGTGCACAGAGTCCAAGTACTTCATTGTTCCAACCAATTCATTTATTTTTATTTTGAGCTCAAGCTAAATTTGAACATGAACCAAGTTTCAAAATCTTGATCAAATTTATTTATTCATTTTTTTATCAAGTTTGAGCTGCAGTCAAGCCTAACTAGGTAGTATGCTGACAATTTAAACAGGTATTCTTATCACTAACAATAAATATATTCATATTTTTTTTACAAAATTGATGATAATTCATTCACTTATAAGTTTTAAAATTTTTGTTTAAGATCCTTTAATTATCAAAAAAGATGAATAGAAAACAAACATTATATGAATGATTACCAAGCTATTCATTGAATATACTAGTTCCCTTATTACTCTATTCTTCTCATCATATGCTCCGGGCATTTCTTTAATAAGAAGTTAGGCTATCAGAGAAAACGTATCCCTACTGGATTTGCCCAATGCAGACCAAATTCAAGGAGGAATTGCAGCAATGCATTGTCTTTGTGCTCTCCATCAACGATTGTTCAAGGTCAGTAAATATGTTAACAAGGTAGAAGCCTTTCATTAAATTTTGAACTTGGAAATGTTAATGGAAAATTAAAAAAATAGCCATTCTTGTGATGTCTAATAAAATAAGGAGCATTGGATCATTTCACAAGCTTATTCCAGGAACAATTTTACAACAATTCCTTGGGAAAACTAAGTGTTGGAGTCAATCTCAAAATATAGGTGTACTTAAAAAAAATATATCTGGAATAACAAATCAAACCTCAGAAAGCCATTGCTTCAGACGTTCTTCTAACGGCCTTGTGAGCAAGTACCTACAGTATCATTTAAAGAAACAATAATAGAATGCAACTAATTCTTTAATTATTCAACAGCTTCTTATCATCAAAAGAACAAAACAGAACAACTAAAACTTTTTCATAGGTGAGGATTAGAAATTTGGAATGATAATGAAGCATATCGATATCAAGAAACTGCTACTACAAAACAATTTAATGCAACTAAAAAAGCATGGTCTTGATTCTGTTCAGATAGGTGCACATCATATTATTAAATGGCATGGGTTTTATTTGTCCTACACTAAGATGACCAATTTTGAAAGGGTAATAGTTGATAACCTTCGAAGAAAAATTTTAGTAAGGTAAGCAAGATTTCTATAATTGAAACAAAATTATTGTTATGATAAAATTGCTAGTTGCATAAAGAAGAATGCCAGAAATTTTACAAGAGTTTGGAATAGCTCACGCATAAGGAGAGGTGATGAAGTACGTATAAAATGTTATTAAGGAAAATAAATATGATTTGTAAGAAGGAAAAAAAAAACACTTAATGAAGCTTGAGTTAGTTATAAAAATGCTGCAAGTCTTAAGAAGAGGATAATAAGCAAAACAAGAGCTATAAGTTTTGATTATTTATTAAATAGGTTAGGTATCAATGAAAGAAAAAAAGAGACATAAATTTGGCAAAAGATAGGAGATATTAAGACTTTGATCAAGTTAAATATACAAGAAGAGAAGATAATACATCAAGAAAAAAAAAAGATTAAAAATGTTATGATGAGGAACTATTAAAAGAGAATTTAAAGAAGAAATTTTTTAAAATAAAATAATTAAAGAAAGAAAAATATTATCGATTGATCAGAAAAAGAAATTGAGTTAGCTCTAACGAAGATACAAAAAGATAAATCTTTGGTTACTTATTAGATATCATTGAAGATTTAATTAATTTTTTGAATGCAAGCATAAAGACAAACATAATGCCTAGTGATTTCTATAGTATTTAAGAAGTGTGGTATTTACTAATTTACATTGGAATCAAACTTATGATTCATGCAAAGAAGTTTGGGGAAGAGTAATAGAAATTAGACTTAAAAAAAACATATTAATATAAACATCAATTCAGAGTTATACTAGAAAGATTCTATATCGAGCCCTTTATTTTTCAAATGCAATTAATGAAGTTAATAGGATGGTCACAAAGTTGAAACATTTGAGGTGAAAGGCTAAGATATGAAAACAATTTTTTATTTATTTTATAGGGGAAAATGTGTTGTTCCCACTAAATGAATCTTACCAAAAGAAACGCTAAAGAGTGTAATTGTTCTTCCGTCAACTTGAAAGCTCATCTTGAGTATGCATTCTAAAGGAGTTAAACATAGGAGGGTCATTTCTATTAACAAAAATTACTTAAAGGGACATGTTCTCTTATATATCTTTTAGTGGTTGTTCAGTAATTAGGTTTGCTAAAAGTTAATGTGTTTGCCTATAAATAATATTAGGAGAGTCTTTTTCATTGAGTTTGTTTTTAGATTTATCCTGATTTGAGATAGAATTCCTTGTTTTTGAGATGGATTCAGCAAATTTGGAGGAAGATGGTGAGGAAAAGGTGATCGTAGTGGAGTTCGGGACTGCCACTGCCGATCTCTGGAGCCCAAAAGCTTCTTTCTTGGCCTTTCTTTGCCCTTGCCTCTGATTTCAATAGATGAAAGGGGGTGGTTGATGGAGGTCAAAGTTGTCACAAGTGGTGGGAACGTATTGTACAACAACAACAAATTTTTGGAAGAAATTCCAACTATCCAGATAAGTAAACTCTGATGCTTCTATAAAAGTACAAGTAATATTTTGTTAATAAGTACACTCTGACACCAATATGAAAGTACAAGTGAAAGTACATATTAATATTTATAATTCAAGTTCAGCTAAAAAATTCTGGAAAGATAAGTCTGATGCATATTCAAATTTAAAACATACTAATGATATTCTTCTAATAATGTTGGTATAAGTAATCCTTCTGTTTATATTTCTTGAGAGTAAAGTCATTTAATCTAACAACAATGATTAACGCCATGCATTGGTAAATAAATGTTCAAAAATATCAAACCTTACCTCTTTCACCCTTCTCCTTTTTACCAAATCTCTCGCTATTAGGTTTCAGTCTCTCATCTTTGTCAATTTCTTCTCTTCTCTTCTCTTTTTATTGACTATCCCCCTATTGTACTTCTTGCCAATCATCTTTATCTCTCTCTTATGAGTCTTTTACTTACATCTGATGATCCGGTTAAGTAAATATATATGATTTGACTTATGTTAAAAAAGAAAGAGGTGGCCATAAAAAGACTTGGTTAGAAAATATTAGAAGTGACCTTTGTTTATTAGATTTAAATGAGAATTTAACTTTTAACATAGCACAATGTAGAAAAAGAATTCATGTAGTCGACCCCACATAGTGGGATAAAAGCTTGATGTTTGTTGTTATCTTACTCCCTCGGGCACGAGTGCCGGCTATTTCCAATGTATATTCGGGAGCCCTAGCTATACAGCCCCTTAAATATATCAGAACTGACACAAAGTAATAAACAAAGAGAAATATGACTCCACAATTAGCCCTAACAACTTCGTGCATGCAAGCTCAATACACAAAAGGAGGAAAAAGAAAACCTGTCAGAAAGCTGCTGAAACAATATCGGTATTTGGATCAGATGCTACAGCACAATGGTGGGAAAAACACATTCGTCTATTCTTTGCAAGAACAAAATAGTTTAAGGCTCTAATCAAGTATCAAAGCATTAAACAACCAAATAAATTAAAATTTTGTAGCCCTAAGAATCTTGAATAATCCACGGCATTTTGGAATGCAGGGAAAAAAAGATATTCAAAGAAGAAAAACAAGACGTTGGATCCAATTTACATACCTTTTTGAAGGGCCTGTAGTTTTCCTTGTGAAGCCAGATGTTGCCGAGCCACAGGAGTCGAGATAATCAGACCTTCAGAGAATAATTAGAATGCTATAATGATAATACAGGAAAAAAACAGCCCGATTATAAATAATATACATCAAGCATGCTAATGCTGATTCCACACATCATGAATCCATTAACAAAAGTACACTTACGACTTCATTGCTAATGGTATATAATTCCTCCCACCCTTAAGTGTCTGTTCCCGATAAATGCATGAAACTGGACTATCACTAGAATGATACTCGAGCAAAACCCAAGGCTGCATGTTTGATAAGGGCGTAAATACAACTCAGAATTGAAACAATAATGCAAATAAACCAAAAAATATTGAAAAAAAAAAAAAGTGCAACGCTGCTGAAATGAGGGGAAGGGGGGGAGACAATAACAGATCTGCATACACAATTTGGAGCAACCTGCATACATAACATCAAACGAGAACACTTATAATTGGTTCCGAAATCTCCTGCTGATGTCCTCATCAATTGGCCTCAGCAATAATTCCATTCATCAAGTCAATAATCAACTATCCAAATACAAGCTAGAATTCCTACTTATAGAAATAGGGTCACAAAGATCTAATCCTAAACAATTTGAACTTAAATTTAAAAGTATTTAAAAAGTTACTCTTATTTGAAATAAAAAAATTAATATGATCAAACCATGCATACTAATTAAAAGAATAAAAAATTAAATATATCATATAATAATCTAAATTTATTTTTTCTAAGTTCAACTCCTGTATGCGTGATAGAATTCTTCTCCTTAAGTGTTAAAAGTAGCAGGCATGGTGGATGTGGAGTTGAATTTGATGGATGGAACAAAGCATGATTCCAGGATGGCCTCCATGCAAGAAATTTGCAGGCTGGGGCCAATTGTAATTTATTTAAAATTAAAAATAATGATAAAATATTAAATCAATTATGAACGATATGATTTGTTCTAAAATAATATTACTAGAACACAAAATTCAAAATAAACTCTTAAAAATAAAACACGTCCTTAGGATGAAGACCCAATGCAAGATCATCATCACTTTGATTGTCTTCAGAATAATCCTCATAATTTATTTCAAAGTCATCCTCAAACTCTTCTTCATCTACAATATTTTTTTCTTTTATCCCCTATATAAGTTAATATTTCATTAGTTCTAAAAAGAATTTGCTACGGGCACAAAACATTTCAGAGTGACTTTTACAAAAATAAAAAATAAAAAAGAAAGATGCAAAGAAACACACCTCATGCTAATACTCAATTGATTGAGATAAAACACCATATAACAAAATAATGAAAGAATAAAAGAATTAAAAGAACTGCATGTAGTTAACTTAGAATGTGAAGAAAGAAAAACACATAATTTGTAAGTCAATAACTTCATTCATCAAATCACTAATCAAATAATCAATGATCCAAATAAAGCCATGAATTCTTATACTAATTACAAAGATAAGATAAAATGATTTGAAACTAAAAATAATCCTGTCCAAAACTAAATATAACCCTAAATAATTCAAATTGAAACCCAAAATCATAAAAACAAATAATTCAACAAAGTTTAAATTAAAATATCAAATAAATTCATATATCTTGATTAAATGAAATTAGGGGTGTCAATTTTCGACACAACTTGAAAATCTGACCTAAATCCAACCTAAAAAATCCGGTTTAGGGTTGACCAGTTTAACAAACGAGTCTGGTTCGGATTCTAATTCTTGACGCATATGAAAAATCAAAACAAGTTCAGGTTGACCTGCTAGCCTGGAAATGACCTAGAATTGACCCACGTGTAGCCTCGCGTGTCACACAGTCCCATCTACACAGCGTGTGCGCATCACGCACACGGTTAGCCAACAGGCTTGTGACCAACGGCCTGCCTCGCCCCACGCTCGCCATGTTGCCTCGCGCTCGCACCCTCACACCCGCGCACCCACGCTCTCCCGCTCATGATCGCACCCGCATAGCTACACTCGCCCCAGCGCCTAGGACCCATGCTCGATGCTCTCCTGCTCTGCGCTCGCCTGGGTTAGCACGTCAGGTTAAGTTGACTTGGGTTTCAGGCGGGTCGGGTCCAGGTTCAGATTTATAACATGTTTGTGTAATCGGGTCGGGTTTGAGTTAGACCAATTGAGGGTGGATTAGTTTTCAATTGAACCTGAACCTAACCTGAAAACCTATTTTGACATCCCCTAATAAAATTGAAATATATTTTTAAATAATCTAAACCTATTTCCTCATTGCATCAAGATGACAACTTGTCATCTTGATGAATCATTACTCATTTGGACTAAATATCTTCTATAACTTAAAGGATAGTCAGAACAGACAGAAGGATTAGCATGTGACAAAGCCAACTTAACGAAACTATAAAGAACGAGCATATCAGGGAATAAAAAGAAGCTGCGACCTACTAAGAGACAAATGGCCATGTAATTGACAACTTTTGAAAGATTTTCAAGCTTCCTTGAATTTCATGCACATCTAAGATGCAGCTGGTTTGTACAATGAAGAATAGCTACAAGTTGTTAAAAGGGCCTATAAATATTCACATCATTTTTCCTTCACTTAGAGGTGAAACTGCAAAAATATATATATAATTTACTCTTTCGTTGAATTATCTGGATTTCTACCACAAGAAAAAAAAAATCTTGCACGAAGCCGCATAAGCACCTAACACTTCAGATTCTACATATTTTACCTTAAAAAACAAAAGCAAAAACAAACAAAAAAATACAAAAGCTTGACTTGATCATAAAGAAAAGTTATTTAACAAGAAAAATATGATCTTAAGAACCTGCAAACGAGAATAGCCCGGGTATTCATGTGGGCTCCGAAAATTCGCTCCCCGGCCTACCCTCACTCGGGAGAGTTTTAACGGATTACGTTCCGAAGTAAATTTTTAGAAGGCAGATTAGGTTTGAAATAAGATATTACCTAGAGATTTCGCCAACATTTTGTGAGGACTTTATGACTTGAGTTAACACTTCTTATAAGCGCAAGGTCCTATAGTTAATTACCCCTCCCGATAACGAGAGAGAACTTTCGATTAAGGCTAGTCGTTAAATAGATACATAGTATCTGGAATATAGTAGCAGCAAATTAGATATTAAAAATTGAAATTCTTCACTGCACGCTTAAAGCAGATGGTGAGGGGAATAACGATGAACCCGATTAAGATCCCATGTTTCCGTCGTCCCGGGTTATCGTGGTCCATAGTCTACTTAGTCAAAGGAGGTAGTCGACCCAAGCTGACCTAAGGATCCTTGTCGGCAACCATGGGTTGCTTCGTCTAAGAGTACCTTGTAACTTGGTGTGGATATTTGTCTAAAGAATATATTTGAGTCCACCTTAGCTAACAAAGAGTTTTGTGTCTGTCGGTCATACCCTATTGATTCATTGTTCAATGATTTAAAGTCATTAGGGAACATACGGGCTCTGGCCATGACCGTAATTTAGTTATACCATTTGGCGGCAAAACACCAAGTTCAGAGGGGCCCGATCATAACCAATGTGTCATTTGGCGTCAAAATTGACGGTTAGAGGACACGTGCCATGTCCTTACTGGCAATAAACGATTTGAGAATGAATCTTAGTGATATTCTCGACTAAACATTCAATCTTTATGAGCTAAAGTGGTATTCAAACTTGTCCATCTCGACAAAAAATTGCGGAGGATATATGAATATTTGCTTTACGTTTAGATGATTAAATTTTAATTAAATATCTTGAATTTTTTAAAAGTATAGATTTGAAACTTTTATTTAAACTTGAGCTTCGAATTATTAATTTTGAGAATTAGGGCATTTCTTTGAAATTCACGTGAACCCCTCCGTTTGAGATTTACATTCAATGTTCATCGGGGTGATTTTGAAATCACTTTAAATGTTCAAATTTTTATAAGTTTGTGAGGCATTTTGAATATTTAGAATTGACCACTTCGATTGAGATCTACGTTCAACACGATAATCATCAGAGTGATTGGGTGATTTCATTTTATTATTTGAACCTTGTCGACTTTGTTTGATTGCCACAAAGGATCGGGTTTAACTCATAATTTTAGGGTTGTTGCATATATACCAGAATCGAGAGCACGTATATTGATGAATGAATTTTTCTTATAAAAGATCTTGAAAGCCTAATATGAACGTATAAAATAAAATACTCTAGTCGGCACTACGACCGTATATTTTTTTATGGTTCAAGTCATGTCAACTCTGGTCCATTCAAAGGGGACGATCGGACTTGTTCCTAAGTTAACTTTCGACCCACGCAGGATTCTCAGGCAAGGGTTTAGGAGCATATCGCACTTGTCGGAGCACATGCAAGTATTTATTTTTCAGTGTGCATTGCATAATTACACTTATGTATGTGCATTTGTATTAATTTTTGTGTGTATATTTACATGATTTAAAACTCATTACTTTTCAATCTATACAACATCCTCAAACGTCACATATATGTGTCACGCTCGTCGGGGCCCATGCGGTAGTACGTGCTTTTAAGTGCATTTTGCATTATGCGTCGACATGTTTATACAATGTGCGTGATGCATTTGTAAGATGATAATGTTTGCATATTATCAATAGGTGTCATAGGCAACACCCTCTTTTAATGATTTGGCACAATGTGCACACTTTAATTATATGTCGTACAACCCGTGACACATAACAGTGCGCCATTTTATTTCTTTTTTAAGACATATATTCATGGGATGTACAAGCCTCCTAACTTTAGCAGCTGGCATGCATGCAACTGAAAGCACTTGCGCATCCATGACTTGCAATGTGATTGACGTTTCTCATTTTATATGAAGCGTTTAACCAGAATAATTATCGGGGATATGCGGAGATTTCTACGTGTTAATAATTAATGTAAATGCATTTCCGTAAAAAAAGATAAATAATTTTTACTTTTTACCCCTCCCCTTTTTAAGATAATAATGTCAATATTCAAGTGTATTTACGCTTGTATTTCACCCGCTTGTGAATACTTGAAGAATCCAAAGCAAAAGCCTCAGAAAGTCGTCTTAACATATTTTAAACATGGATCCTAAGCTAGTGGGGCCCACATGCGTACCTTCCCTATCTTTTAGCAAAAGAATCCTAAGCTGGCAGAGCCCGCATGCATACCTTCCTTGTCTTTTAGCAAAGGAATCCTAGGTTGGCGAGGCCTGCAAATAATTTGACTTTCATATTATTAATAGGAGGGAGGCTCAATACATTTATTTTACTCTTTATTTATGCAAGGAGTATTGTTGGGGAGTTTAGGTGTGTGCAAGTCAAGAGCTAAGAGAAAGAAGTTTGGTTCGTACATATTGGTAAACAACTAATTCCCCTACAAGTTTACTATAAGTTGTATTATGTTATGGTCTGGATTTTCTTTCATCTTTACTTTCAGTGTTAGAAACCTAGGATGTCGTGTGTTTTATTTTTTTTTTTACTTAGAAATTTAGGTATATTTTAATTTCTTTAAAATTCTCTAAGTCATGAGCTTTGTTGAAGATTTTGGCTTCAACTAGGCGTCGTCCCCGCACAGGGGACTGCATCGGGGTATATAAGGTCTTCCCGCTAGCCAAGAAAGGCAGTCACAGTAAGTTTAAGGTGACAATGCGGCTATAATTTTGTTTCCCGCTCGCTAATAAAAGTGGTCATTGAGTCTTCAAGTACTTATTTAAAGCACATCATTTCCCCGATTGCTAAGAAAAGTAGTAATGAGTACTTAATTTTCTTTCATATGTAATAAATTTCTCAACTCGCTAATAAAAACGATCGCAAGTACTTATGTTTCATGCATACGAATTTCTCCGCTCGCTAATAAAAGCGATTACTAGTACTTATGTTTCGTGCATATAAATTTGAAGTACTAGTGTCAGGTTATACCTTAGGTGCACGATGATCGAGGCGACGATAATAGATGGCAGAAGGCGGTGATGGCAAGAAACCTGCGATGCATAATGTAAATTTTGTTATTATCATTAATGTTATTTTAATTAATTATATAAACTTTTTTTATTTAAAATAAGGGCTAAAGAAAGAGATGGTGAGCTCCTTTTCTAGAGAGAGAAAGAGAGGGAAGAGAGGGCTTTTGGTGGAAGAGGTGAGGAATGTGCATGGGAGTATTTTTTGTGAAGGGAGGTTGGTGATTTGAGGAATGAATGTGAAGAAAATATATTTTTTTAGGGTTAGGGTTTTGAGGAGGTTTCGGAAAGATGGAGGGGGAGGAAGAAGAACATGGAGGAGAGAAAAAAGAGAAGAAAAAAATGTAGGAAAATGGAAGAGGAAGAAATAAGAAGTAGAAAGGAGGAAAGAAGAAGAAGAAGAGAGGAAAAGAAGGAAGATGGTTACCGTGAGCTTGGAGGGAGGCCGACAGCTTGGAGGCACAAGAGAGGGAGAAAGAGTCAAGAGATGAGAGGGGGCGTGAGTGTCATGAAGTTGAGTGAGGGTGCCTATTATGAGGGGTTAAGGGTTTAAGTGTGTAGAGGTGCTTTATTTATTTTGATTAGCTAAAAATTGAATGGAATTGTTGATGAGAAATGAATTTCGCGTCCGATCTCGTTCTCGCCTCGTATCTACGAGCTAACCGGGCCGGATCGTGACAAAGTGAGGGGTATTTTAGGATTTTTTTCCTTAAAAAAAAACTCTCCCACTCTTTTAAATTTTAACTATTTATAATTATATGGTATAAAGAAAATTTATTAATCATGCTTCGAGTTGATTGTCCTGTCGTCGTCACATCAATTTGCATGCACGAAATTTAAATTTTCGCCGATTGACGACCCCAATCAATATGGGAGTTGATCTTAACTGTTTCTGTTGCTCCGGACACATTAGCGCTATCCGTTTCACGAATATAGGCCATTTCGGTGATTTTGATTTTCGGTCGACACGCGTTAAGTGAGTTTTGCGCGGTTTCAAGCTTTTTTGTTTTTGAAACTCACCTGCGTTGTCGGCTCGACTCCGACACTAGTATTGAGGTGAACAATTCACAAACAGCAACTGCCATGTTGTCTATTTTATATTATTAATAAGAAAAGCAGAAGACTAATGATCAAGGTAAGCCCAATTTTTTTGCACGTTATAATAATCAATTGCAAACAACACCTAAAGAAAGACTAAGAGTTCCAAAGCTTAAACTTTTGGTAAGAAAAAAGGTTAATAAAATAATATACAAATAATCAGGTCTTCTACCAAGTAGTTGATAAAAATCTTAGCTTTTTTTTTTACCATCTCTATAGCACAAATTGTTATTTTACTCTTCAACCTTATAATGGTAGTGTCGGCCATCAGATTACCTCAATTTGTGTGTTGAATTCGATGCTTTTTATGGTTAATTTTCAAACTCAAAATCTTTTCCATCATGTGTTACTACAGTGCTAGGTAGAGAATGTTTTTAGAGACAAGGAAAACATTCCTTGAACCCACGTACGTGCAACCGCTCTTATAAATTTACAGCAAGTACCATGTACTTTATCCTATCACTTGCAATGCATGTCATTAAAAGAAATCAAGCAGTCTATTCAATTATTTGTTTTCTAATTGCTAATTTCTCTTGCTTCTAAAAATAATTAACAAATTTGAGCATATAAATCTTATCCTGTAACATTATTTCTGACCATCAAGAAGAATGACAAATGTTTCAACTGTTTTGCATGTGCAAGCATAGGCTTCTAACTTGCTGCAGGGTTGCATGTTACAACGTGGAGAGGACCTGCTCAACCATTCATTATTTAGCAAGGTTTATTGTTGAAGATGTGGAATCGGTTATAAAAAAGCACAATGAAAATAGGAAGGACATGGAAGTGTAGAGTTATAAATGGTCCCATTCATGCATGCACAAATTAATTCCTCTCACCTCATCGACATTGATGTGCTCATTAGCCTCTTTTGCATCGTCCTTTACAGCTTTTCCCTGGGCAAGTAAGAACATGGATGTTAACAAATGAATGTAGTATTTTACGAGAAGTAAATAACAAATGAGAAATTTAAGTAGGAAAGATTGGAGCACTTTAATGAACAAATCTTTAAAAAAAACACTTAAATAGCAAGGTATGTCACATGATTGTAGAAGAAACATGCTATTGCCATGCTTTTAAGAATGAAAGAGAAGTCAAGATTGTGGCAGTTATATATAAATCAAACTAGCAAGCCATAAATAATGCTATAAGTAGAAAAATCGCATCATTATGAGAAACTCAACTTTGATTAATGCTAGAGCATTGCACGTGGAGAGAAATTTTGTTCCAAGGACAATAATGTAAAAAATCTAATTAAATTATTAATCTTTTAATCAAGTGACATAAGCATTAAGTTGGTGTCCAACGTGAAAGTAAAGTATATAAAAGTAATTAAAGAAATATTGGATGGATCATTGACCAAACTAGTAGTAATTGTGAATTAAGCAAAAAAGTTTCTAATCACAATAGGACTAAATAAAAGATCAATATTTAGTCAATAGATCCGTTGAATAACATTGAGTACATGGTATGCAATTTTGGTAGACATAAAATTAATAGTTATTAAGCAATATTGTTGGAAGAAGAGTGAAACATAAGTGAAAATACAAACTAGTGAGAGTGCAAAGCGTGGAAGTAGTCTACAACATTTCCGCCTCCTGTACGCGCCGAACGTACGCCCGGGCGTGCGTGAGCTGTTTAGGAAGGATTTTTTAGGGAGTTAGAAGGGAAATTTGAATGTAGGGTCTGTTTAGGGATTCCTAACAACATATCACGCATGCCCGAGTGTGTGTTCGACACGTACAAGAGGCGAAAATGTCCGCCTCTGGTCACGTAAGCCGGTTCTTTCAGGCCGGCTGGACCGGTCTAACAACATTCCCCTCCCAAAGATCCATCTTGTCCGCAAGGTGGAAAGACGACACCCTCTTCCACTCTTCTTCATACAAACGGTAAGAACCTGAAGAGTTCGATACTAAAACTTGTGCTCCGGCATACTAGGGATTGTTTAGGGATTTCCTTTTGATTTGTATGCATTAAATAGTTTGTTTTCATAGGGTTAGGGTATCTTGAATTTGGCTGACATTTGAGATCTCACATATTTCCTTTGGGCTCTAGTGGCGTCTAGAGATTTGGGAGAGATCAATCTTCCTCTCAAATAGAGGATCAATTACATCTTGTTATTTTCTTCCAATAAAATTACTGTTTTTCACTGGTTTTCCATTGGAATCGTGGGGATTTACTTGAAATCTTCAAGTGTTTCCTATCAAACTCAAAAATCTATAGACATCCAAATCTCACACTCTAATATATGCACAAAACACATTAACATAATTTTAGAAAATTATTTGTCATTGTTCAATAAAGCTCTTATCCAATAGTCCATAATAAAATGGTATAACTTTAAAAAAAAAAAAACTTAATTTTTTTTTAAAAAACAACAACATATTTTGGAAGTGACCAGGTTCATCAAGCTTACCCCTAATGCCCTTTATTTTTATTTTGGGGAGATGTCATTCTTATAGTTTGTTATATTATAAATCAAATGCCCATTAAGGACCTTCACTTCTAAACTCCCATTAAAGTATTTTCCAAATGTTTTCCCAATACTCGCACTATTTCAAATCTCCAACTTAGAATTTTTGGATGCATTGTCTTTGTCCATAATGATGAACTTATTATTGTCATATGAATACTAAAGTTCTTCAGAAAATAGGAATCTTGAAAAATTGGTGCTTTTACTATTGTAGGTCCGGTTGATTCTATGGTTGATAAAAAATCCATATGTGTACATATGGGGAAATCTTTCAGAACAAGAACACAAAATGCTGGTACTAGAAATGGTGCTGAACTTGAACTCCAATCTCTAGCAAATGAAATTCTTAACTAATTTGTCTTTAGTCACTTCCAGAAGAACATCAAGTTACTATCAATAATCTTATAAATACATATTACGACAATCAAGTTGTCATTAACATAGCTGATTGAAATAAACATAGGCAAGTAGATCAACACTTATTAAAGAAAAAATTTAAATGAAATAATATATTCCTCAATCATCATATATTTTCTTCTAAATAAGCTACATGTATCTTGACCAAGGGATTTGCTAGATCTCTATTTGAAAAAACGATTGGCAAGCTGGGATTATTTGATATGTACAATCCAGCTTGTGGAAGAATTTTAAAGTATTGATGGCAATTAATAATTATTTCCATGTTCGTTAGATGTTTCTTGCAAATTTTTAAGCCACTGATGGAAGTCTTGTTGATTCCCGTCTACCAAATTTATGAGGAAGAAATTGTGAGCTATTGTTTGTCAGAAGAAAAGAAACATGTTTTCTGCCTACTACAAATGATAGGGAGAAGCTGTCATCTGTTGTCCGCCGTCCCATAAATGAACTTATTACTGTCTGCTTACTCCATATGGAAGGAGAATAAGTTCATATAAACACAAATCATGTATCAATTTCACATTTTTTTCTTAATTTAGTGTGTTGCTATTCAGTTTGTTTTGGGAGTTTTTTATTCCTTGCAACTGTAGTAAATCTGGAATAAATTAATCATCTTTAATGCATACTTCCATAAGAACATTGTAATCTAAGTTTAAAAAAAACCTTAACATTTCGCTGGGGTAAGGCAGGGAAATGAAAAATACTTTTCCTAGTTTTCTCCCCTCTCCTCACTGCTCTGTTAAAAATATGTAATCATCCAAGCCTGATGCTACTAGAGTTGGAGATCGCAAGCACAATATATCAGACAACTAGATAGGGTTATAAGCATCTAAATAATACTAACATCTGGTAGAAATTTTGTAGAACAATAAAATTTGAGTATTCTACAAACTTTTACCTTATTATTTGACAGCTTTGGAGATTCCATGAAATTGTCAACCGGTTTTAAATTTGATTCTGGCTGATGACCACCTTGATTCACCTTCTGAACTCCATTTAAATGAGCTATTGATGGCCGAAACTGGACTACTGCATGCAAAGGAATCACATGTAACTGCAAAACAAAGCCAGAGAAACTTAAAACATCCTTATAACTCAAAGTGTTGAGTTGTAACTGAAATTTCAAAGGACAACGGTAAAAAGAAATCATCAAATTTTAAGATGTCAAATTTCAAACATGACAAAATAACAACATTAGCAACTTCAAATATCCGTAATCCATTTAGCGTCCATCAGTTTGTATGTTCATGGTATTCATGCAAACAAAAGTGAACAGGCCGAGTAGATAAATTACTCTGTTTTCATAGCGTCATTATGAACATGTCTTGAATATACCAAGCAAATTAAAAAGTAGCTTAACAAGTTAACCCCTTATCAATCTGAAATATAGGTTTGTTGACAGATAATTTCCCCGCGGAATAAACAGATGTATAGAAACATAGATAAAAGATAATCAAACGCCATAGAGGGAAACGAAAAAAGAAAAAAATATATAAGGAGATCAAAGTAAACAGAAAGGCTCTGAAATAAAAGCAATCCCTCCATTTTCGGTTCACAAGAAAATACTTTATTTAAGATTTACTGTGTCATTCTACTGAAATCACTAAGCGTTTTTTTTTTTTTTCTTTATTGTTACAGCTGCACGTTGCACGCCAATAGAGAAAAGGAATTTGCCATATTTAGCATACCTCAACTGTCATAATATCACGTCCATTTAGATGGAATTGGTAATCAGCCATGTCACATATGGCAAAAACAATTGTCTTAGCTTACGCAGCACAAAATATAATGAATTCTCCTTAGCATAACCTTTTTTTTTTTTCCTTTTGTGGAGAAATCATATGTCTAAATTTATCATGTATCCCTTTAACTAAAATTTATTAACTGCTTGTAGTCAGTTTGCATTTATGCTCTGTGGGTCGCTCTTACCTCAACTAAGGGATGAATATTAATCAGAGCCTCAGCTTCAGCCACCAGACTAAGAAAATATTGCGAAACTTTTTTGCTATGCATAAATCAGGAAAACGCTTCAGCGATGCTCACTGAATGGAAAATCCCATTAGACACAGAGCACAGTACCTTCTCTAACCCCTCTCCCTCCCTCTCTCCCTTTCCTTCCCCCTTGAAAGTTATGCCTTCTCTATCAACACAGTAACTAAGCACATGCTTGATTAGCTAATACCAGACACAAGCAAAAGCTAAATTCTCTCGACTTCCAAGTTCAAAATCTTCTGGTATTGCTACTGAATGGTACTGTGCCATAATTAGATTTCCACATCACTAGATTTAACTCGTGATCGGTCTTGGTGAATTAAGAACAATCCAAATCCCAAAAGAATAAGTGTAGGATGACAAAGAGGAGGAAAATTAATAAATATGAGCATTGGATTTCTTGGAATTGCTTTAGGTAGGTTTCGAAGGAAGAAGAAAGACTCGCAGATCTAGGCTTTGGCAAAAACCACTGATATCATGATGAAAAACTATATATAATCTCTACCCAAGAAATACATCAAATATTTTAATAAGGCAAGCAACTCTTGAATCCTCCAATATTCCCGGTAAATGACATCACAAAACTAATAAATAATAAGGTACAAGTAATAGGAGCAATAATAGGCAACAGAATGATTAACAATGGCAGAGACAAACCCCATTGATAATCCTCCTAGAGGAAGGCAGTGTTATGAACTATCAGCCAGGTTTCCTTACCTTCGTAAGGGTTATTTATTAAGTTTTTAAAAGTACATACGCATCTTCATGTTTACACTGAAGTTGAACTAGGAGCAGAAAGAAAGCAAAAGAAAGTTCGATACCAAAAGGACATTCCTAGTCATTGGGCAACAAATTCATTGTAATCACCAGGCCGATAAATAGGAGTCATGGCAACATGAACCAAACATCAGTTTAGGCCATTCTTATAGTATGATGTAACAAAATCTGCATTAATTGATGCACTTCAGGTTGAGTCATGTATAGATTTGAAATCTACTTTGACAAATGCATCCATCTTAAAAGACCAAGTTAAGAATCATTGAATTAGTCAGCCTTAATAAGGGGAAACATTGATTTCAAATGAATAGTCAAAATTACAGGAGTACAATTATAAATTCAATCAAATGTAAGGGGAGCACAATATTCTGACTATAAGATATCTGGAAAACTAAGGATCAATGACTCAATGTACATCCTTCCATAAAAATCTTCTAATCCTTCGAACAGTATTGCAACAATTTGATGCATCTATGCAGAACATAATCTACACGAAGATTTACAGAGGAAATCATTCATAATACAAAACAGCTCAATTGATCATTTCCCTCAAAAATAGTACCACTATCACATGGTACATGTAGCATATATGTACAACAACAACAACATCAAGCCTTTATCCCACTATATGGGGTCGACTACATGAATCCTTTTTATCCATTGTAGTAATACGTAAAGAAAAGAAAAAAAATATGGACTTACACTGTTTCCTCTTAGAAACCCAACTGCGTAATCATTTACAGAAGGCTTTGAGGATGATGACAAAGTCTACAAAACAGTAACGATGAAGAAATTAGGACATCAAAGGATGACAGGCCAATAAGTTTGACATATAAAATATCTTTCAAAAGCATTATCAAAATGGAAGTACTGACTACACACTTTTTTGCTCATGCAAAATAAAAGAATGAAGCGAGGAGCAGTAATTTTGAGAATAATATTTCATAAACTAATGCACAAAATACATGTCAATGATATACTTCAAGTCTTCAACCAATATTTGTTCGCTATAGGGGGGAAAACAGAAAGAAAAGTCAAAACTGAGCTATATAAATGTAGAGAAAAGACATGTTAGAAATTTGGAATTGAACAACCAATAGTGAGTGTCATTAACAACAGTTTCGTAAAGTGTATTATCATAGTTTTAAATTTTTCTATTTTGTTGATAATGTGAGGTACAAATCAAGAAAGGCTTCAATATAATCATAAAGGGGATATGATTTTTTTTTATGCGAAAAATCCCAAAATAGCTAGACTATTCCACGATGTGATATATTTTGTCCCAAAGTATCACATTGTCTCAATTTAACCTCTCAAGTATACAAAATTGATCCAAAATAGTCCCTTATATGATAATTGTGATATAAATTTACTCCCCATTTAGTTCCCCGACTGCAAAAAATCCCAAAATAGCTAGACTATTCCATTGTATGACATATTTAGTCCCAAAGTATCATGTTGTCTCAATTTAACCTCTCAGCTATACAAAATTGATCCAAAATAGTCCCTTATATGATAATTGCGATATAAATTTGCTCCCCATTTAGTCCCCGACTTTAGAAAATTGATCCTAATTTAGTCCCAAAGGGATCATTTTGGACCAATTTTATATGGTCAATGGACTAAATTGGAGTAACATTATACTCTTGGGCTAAAATGGAAGTCCATAAATCCAATCATAATTTTATAAAAAGTCACATTTATCAATTCTAATTTCTAGTCTAAGTTGTCTTGTCTTCTGTAGAGTCTCATATTCACCATGAAATTACATGTGCAATAAGATAAAAACTATTATGATTGATAGAAAATGATGTAACTAGCAAAATGTGAATCCAAAATGGAATGATACAAACAAATTATTATGTTACCAATCAACATTAAGCACATACCATAATCAAAATTCATTTCTATGAACTTATTTCATGGCAAATTTAGCTCATATCATTTATTTACAGCAAGCATATCACATTATCACTCACTCTCAATATGAAATCTACATAAATTCAATTTAGATTTTCAAACTAAGGATTATACCATTCAGAAATATCAATCAAAATTATATTTTCTAAAAATTCTCTTCAGATAAAATCTTGACCTTCTAAATGGAGCAAAAAATTCTCCTAATATAAAAAAAATCAAAGACATGCCAAACAACTACATGTCGCTAGTTTTCTATTGTTAGTTATTGACCACCACGAGAGCCAGAATACCTGCCCAAAATCCTGCTCAAATCTCGGTCGTGCATCATTTGTCGAAATCCCACTGAGATCCTTGTACATTCGGCACCGCTCGTGTCTTTCTCCCGCAATCCTGCAAGCTACTCTTCGACGTCATTAAAATGAGAGGGTAGACGAGGCTTTTGTGTTTCTTCCCCTCCTTTAGCTCACGACCCTCTACAGCCACAGAGATCCCGCTGAATCTAGCCTCCAATACGTCCCTGCTCTTCCTGATTCCTCCAATCAACACCTGCAACCAATCGACCTTCGTTCGAAGACCTCAAGCCGTCCATCTCTAGCACAACTCACATGGCTGAAGCCTCCCAATCGACGCCGCCAGCCATTCGATCTTCCTTACTATATATGCACAACCCACTGACTTCCCATAGAACTTCCCTCTCTTCCTCACACAACTGCAGCCCCACTTCAAATACCTGACTCAACCTCCAACATTCCATGTCAACCAAACTCCAGCTCAAATCCTTGTATCGACCTCCCACGCCTTATCCCAATATTGTTGAACAACTCTATCCGGCCCAGTTTAGCGCAAGAACTTGACGCATGCGATCCTCCTCCCCATTCCTCAAGTAGTTGAACTACCTGCAAATGTCATCCATCCCTGACAAATCCGACGCCAACTCCCATCCCGATTCCACGACCCATCTGGACGATCGAATCACTCCCCTCTCTAATTGAACCCCTCCAATCGTCCGATCTTCAATACCTACAGCCCAATCATCCGGTTCTCCTTCCCCCTATCCGATCCAACCCCAGACACAAACCTCATCTTCCCTGCCGATTCACACACCTCACCTGCTTGCAGCTCGAGCCACCCTCTACTATGTCAAACTCCCTCCTCGAGTTGCCCGAATTCCCTTCCTCAACTCAGAGGTTCTTCACTCCACATATTACTCTCACAAATTCCCTCAAAATCACCTCCTCTAATCAGCAAGCTCGATCCCCACTTAACCAGCCCAATTACATAATCCCTCAACCTTGGCGTTGAACCTCAAGTAGCCTGGAGCAAAAACAGGGAGAACAAGGAACAAAGAGGTATAGAAAAACCTTTTTTCTATATGTTAATATTTATCAGTAATAATCCATATATATATATATAATTATAATTATAATTATAATACTATAGGCTATTCTATATGAGTGATAATGGCCTAAAAGTTGTAAGTGTACAGAGTATGCATAAAAATACTAATAAAGTGGTATCGATAGTAGTGGAAGCATTAGGTTTGTTGAAATGAGTTGGGGTACTATTGTAGTGAGCCATAGGACCAGGATAGTCCACATTAGGTCTCCCCGGCTTCAAAAGATTCTGCACCTAAGGAAAGAGGTTGAGCAATACATGTGTCTTGAAATGCGTAAGCAAAGATATCAGAGACGTTAAAGGTTGAAGCAGTGAGGAAATTTAGTGGAAGATCCACGATATAGGCTTTAACATTGATACGTTTAAGAATGGGTATGGGACCTATTTTTCAGGGACTCAATTTTAAAGCAGGTACTTGGTTGGAACTGTTTCTTACGAAGCCGAACCATAACAAGTTCCCCGGGATTAAAAATCTTCTCTCGACAATGTGAATCTGCGAGCTATTTGTACTTGGCATTGGCTGCAGATAGCTTAGCTCTTACTTCTTCAAACAACTTTGTATAAGTTTCAATGGTCTCAGCAGCTGTCTAGCAACGGCATTTAGGGAGGATGGTGACATTAACCAAATGGTTAGGTATCTTAGTGTAGAAAATGTAGAAATGACACTTTCCAGTCGACCAGTTTACCATAAAGTTATATGCAAATTCAGCTTGGCCTAAAAAGTCATCCCACTGCTTTGGGTGATCATGAGCTAGATATCGTAGCATGTTTCCCAATGTGCGTTTGATCACTTCAGTTTGGCCATTTCCAAAGCTTAACTTGATTGGGGATGATATGCGAAACTTAACTTGATTTCCATCAGCGGCCATTTCCAAAGCTCTCGCCAAAAATGGCTAGCAAATTTTACATCACGATTGGACGTGATGCTATGAGATAAACCGTGCAAGCGGACGATCTCCTTGAAGAAAAGAACAGCGACATTGAGGGCATCAAATGTCTTCTTGTAGGCTATAAAACAGGTGGTTTCGCCGCCAAATGGCACCACACCTATGGTTTTGCCGTTAAATGGTGTCACAAATAAACGGTTATGACCAGAACCATCTGAACCGGGTGGTTCGCCAAGAAATGGCACCATTATATTACAGTCATGGTCAACGCCTCTATTTTTCCCAATTACACTAAATCCTTGAGATATAAATCAATAGGATATGCTCGATAGGGCACAAAGCCCTCTGTCAAGGTGGATTCAAATTTATCCCCTTAGACAAACATCCACCCTACGTCTATAAGGTACCCTTGGATGACACAACTCATGCCTGCCAAAAAGGATCCTTCTGTCAGGTTGGGACAACTATCTCCTCTGACTAAGTAGACCAAGAATCATGATGGCCCGAGACGACATAACCATGGGATCTTGATCGGCCTTATCATCACTCCCCCGCCATCCTCTTTACGTACAAGATAGTGAAATTTTAAATTTTAAATATCAAACATTTCAACGCCTAAACCAATGTTGCTATTATATGTCAGATATCACGTATCTATGGATACGATGTATTCACTTGAGGACTAGTCATAATCAAAAGTTCTCTCTCATTATCGGGAGGGGTAATTAATTATAAGGATTGCACCTATAGAAAATCAGAACTTAAATCATAAAGTCCTCGCAAAATGAGGGCGAAATCTCTGGATAGTGTCTTATTTCAAACCCAATCTGCCTTCTAAAAATTTTCACAAGAACTTAATCAGTTAAAACTCCCCCGAGCAAAAGCGAAAGCATGCAGGGAGGCCAGGGCACGAATTTTCGGAGCCCACAGTGGTCAACTAAGATTTTGTTTAGGACAGCTTTTGGCCACTGCTTTTTCGCTACTTTCAAAAAAAATTGTACCAAAAATCTTCTTTAGAAAGCAATAAGAAAATTGTTCTAAATGAAGCCTAAATCATATCTTCGCATATGCATGCATTTTTTTCCTCTTTCAGATCTGCAGAGGTAGAAGTCATCCTCAATGTATGTCTCAACTTATGTATTTCCCTCCTCTTTATCAAGTAAATCCACTTCCACTCAACAAGTTTCTTACGACACCAAATCACTTGCTATTATTTTCTTAACAAACATTGTTTACTTATTCCATTGTTTACCTCCACAGCATATCCCAGTAGCACCAAATAAAAATCCATGATGACTATCTACAAACCAGCTTCTTTTATGTGCATTGTGCGATTTTTACAACTGATGTAGAACATTAGTTAACTCAGAATTCACCGAATTGCCCCAAAAGTTAAAGAGCTGATCTTAGCAAACTTAATAAACTAGCCAACTTTCAAAACAATGGTTGTGGGCAAAAAATCATTCATCTTATCCACGTATATATGTATTGCCCACATCCGACTATTACAAACTTGGGTTAGCATGATCAAGAAATAAAAAATCTGATAGAGGTTATAGGTTCCAATCAAACTGTAACTTTTCACAAACTTAAAAAAAAAAAACTTGAACCAGAGAGTTGGTTCAGCAGATCCTTATAGTCAGTAACGGCTGAGATGTTATCATGGTTTATTTCACTTACCAATCCTGGATCGAGCTAATAGCACTAGAGGCATGCATATGGAACAAAGAAAACAGAAGAAACCATTTATGCAATGCGATGGTCATGACAAATTATTGACAAGCAAAAATACATAGCAAGAACAACCAACTCAAGAAGTTTGTGAAACCATAAACTAATGCTTCATCTCATAAGTTGTAAATAACAGTATATTAAATTGGCACCAACCTGTGTAGTAATCTTCAAATTATGATCAACTTCTTCGTTGTAGTTTTCACTGTCAATGTCCAAACTATATTGAATTTCAAACTGTGCTAGTTTTGGTTTAATCCTAACCTGGAAAAAAATAAAGCATTAAAGAAATTCAAAACACATAAATTACTGGAACTTCTTTTTCGAAGGCTGCAATATCATTAAAAAAAATCACAAGTTCAAATATCAAAAAATGATATTTAACACAATTTTACCTTAGCACATCTTTCATCCATTTCGTATGGGCGCCAAGAAGGCCTTAATGGATACCGCACATCATATAACTACAAGGAAATAAAATATCAGTGAACACAATGTATAGATTTGCCTCAAGATTTATGTCTATCAAGCAAATTTTTTGTATATATGTCAAGAATAACCAACATTTCAAACAAATGTTGGTGAATAATCCATTTTCAAGACTTTAATCATCTTAGCGTCTTTGCCTCATGTATAAAACACAGCACTTCAAATGGGCAGTTGTGATCACCCAATTTCTAACAACTCAAGAATTGGCATATAAGATATTTTCATATATACAAAAAGTTATGTACATGCTCATAGAAGCAACATTGGGTGATCATATAATAGATATATGACATATAATACAAACTTCAAATTGATCTTAAATCTACCTATAATTAATATCTTAAAACAACCTTATTTAAAGTGGAACTATCATATGAATTAATTTCAAATCAAAATTCATTTACATATATATTTAAAGTAATTTACTTCTTACAACTACTTGATTAATAGCTTTGACTTCTCATTTTATTTATTAGTGAACTCCTATTCTTAAAAGGCTCAAGGACACTAATATTTAGGGCCAACTCACACGCAAACCAACTATTACTACTTGCATGCACCCTTGCCTTCTTAATCCACATGCAAATCACATGAACTGTGAATGTAAATATTACATTTTGGTTGACAAAATCCCCCAAGTAATTGCCTCCCTTTGTCACGGACACCATCTTTGATGACACATTTAGCATTTACACCTCAATAATTATTCAACCAAAGGACAATCTACAAAATTTGAAATTTTAGACTATAAAAAATGAATATGTACTTTCTCCTCCCTTGTGACCTGGGGTGTGTGACTAGCAACATACCATATTATAAAGCCCATATTACACTCAAGGATTGCAGATTTTATGCATTAAAGCAATAGAATATGGAATAAATAATGTACCTAACAATTGATCATAAGATTCATAACGGACAAACCATAATTTCACATTTTTTTAAGAAAAGAAATATAAATGTAAGAAAGACAAAACTAGGCATTAACACTAGGGAAAAATAAAACCTTAAGTGCTTCACAATCATCGCATGGTATAATATCACAATACTTAAGTTCTGGAAGCATCTGTCCAAACTACTCCACCAGTTTTTAACACAAGGTAGGCAGCAAAATTGCAATAATTGGTAAAAAAAGGAGAAATGCAAAAAAAATTGTAGATAACAAGAAGATAGCACGATAAGAAAAGTACCAAACATTGACTCCTCAATTTTTCATTGAATCATGGAGGAAAGGTGCTAAATCCTCAAAAATGAAGAAAATATGTAAATCCTCAAACATCCGAAAGGGTAAAACATCCCAAAGAATAACTTAAATTTTCATTCATAATAGCTCATTCAAGTCCATACATTAAAAGTTCTATCTATAAATAAAACTAAACCAAGTTAAGGATGGGGCAACCCTAACTTTATAAAATTTCAAACAATTTTAAAAAATTAATAATAAAATAAATAATAGAAATTCGACCCTAAATGACGATGGGCCAAGGTAAACTTGAAAGAGCGCGGTTAAGCTCTTTGTTAACTGGCCTGAATCCAAGATTAATTTGAGTTTTTCAGAACCAACGGCGGTATTGCGTCCTTATGCCGAACTCAAAGATCACATATCGAATATTTGCCAATTTCCTGGCAAAGGTTATCACGCTTGAGTTGGTTCAAAGCAAAACATTAGCCAGGGAAAAACCTACAGGAATTACCTCATGTTTCTATTTCTAACTGTTTTCATTCCAACATATCGTATACAAGCGAAACCTCCAGTAAGCGACCATTAGCACGCCGTGAATATGAACCAAAGGCCCCATATTTTTTCCAACTGCCATAATATAAATAAGATGAAAATGATTAAATGAAAAGTTATAGTACCTTAGTGTCCGAATCAAGAGATGGATGTACGTAGACATCGAACTCCCGAACCACCGCATCTTCCTCCTCCTCGACATCCATCGAAGTGCTCTCTGCTTTAACCGCTGCATCGTTAACACCATTGTAATGAGGAACAGGCGAATCCTCAGAGAGCTCCATTTTATTCGAATAAGGAATGGATTCTGCGGCAGGTGGCGCCGGTGTGGGAGCCGGGTATGGCGTCAATGATGGCTCCGCCTTTACCTTGCCCTTGCCCTTCATCTTGGGCCCGAAACGAGACTGCTTAGGCGGACCAAGGAAGACGTCGATATCCATGGAGGAATCATCGAAGAGCTCGTCTCCGGCACCCATCGCTCTCTCTCCGAAGCCGCAATGACGGTCGCTGCTGCCGAAGACCGTGCGGCGTTGTGTTAAACCCTGAATATTTATACAATTATACAGACAGATAACCGCTTGAATTGGGTCTCGTAACCGCGGTTCTAAATCGGGTCGTCGGAAGAACTCCGCTAGCGCAGTAACTGTAAACGGGTCGGATTGCAATTTTCTTTTTTTTTTCCCACCAATAAAAGAAATTTAAAAACTTTATGGGTTCTAATTATCTGTCCTATGAATATAATTTTTTTAGTTTTAGTTAAATGATTCATAATTTTTTAAATAATACTTTAAGCTTCATTAATGATTTATTTGTGCAAAATTTTTAGAACTTTTTTACTTTTAACTATTTCTTATAAAATATAATTTCTTTTTATTGCTCAAAAAATTTTAGATCAATTAAGAATCTATAAAAATGTATAAGCCTATAAAAAATTATTATTATTATTATTATTATTGTGTCCTGGAGTATTCACGGCGGTAGAGAAATATAAAATTTATCATCTTAGCGTTTTACGAAGATTCAAGAAAGGGTGCTTCAATTATATGGACACCAATATTTTTACGTGAAAAACCTTTGAAAATGACAAAAAACCACGGGGCCTAGCTCAGTTCGAATGAATCCACTAGTATTGCAGTTGATTACAAATGAGGCCCTTCATTAGGGGAAAACTTTAACTTGATGTACATCTTATAGAGCACATTACATGATGTGAATACAAAGAGTCACTGTAGACGTGTTCGTTTGGTCAAAATGATCGTTCGTAGGTGGACGACGTAAGTCGGAACGACCGTAGTCGGCGGGCGACGGAGGTCAGAAGGACTGTAGTCGGTGGGCGGCGTAAGTCAGAAAGATTGTAGCAGGCGAGCGACGGAGGCTGGAATGACTGTAGTCGGTAGAGGTCCAGCAATGGACAGAAATCCAGCGGTAGATGTTCGGCGAAAACCCGACAACGAGCATAAGTTTGACGTCGAGTAGAAATATGGTGACGAGCGGAGGTCTGGCTTTGGATAGAAGTCCGACATCAGTTGGAGGCCGAGGAGAACTTCAGCGTTATATGGTATTCGAACAGAACTCCGACGTCACTTGGAGTTCGGATGAAACCCTGGTGTCATTTGGAGGCTGGGCGGAATTCCGACGTCACTTGGAGGTCGGGCAGAATTCCGGCGTCACTTAGAGGTCGGGCGGAATTCCGGCGTCACTTGGAAAGTCGGGCGGAATTCCGGTGGTCGATGAGTTTCTTCCCTCATATCCCCTTTCTCTTCTCTTCTTCTCTCCTTCTTCTCTTATTCTTCTTCTTGCTTCGGTCCCCTTTCAAGAGAAATGAGTGGTCAATTTATAGATTTATGGAGTGGCATGACCCGTAAATAGGTGAGAGATAAGGGGTAAATGGGGAGTGGTTGGCATGAACGGCTGATATTGAATCCTTTGATCGTGAACCGTTTATAATAAATTTAAAGGTCTTAACGATATTGAAATTCGATGATCTTGGGCTCTTTGGATTCGTCTCGTCGAGCCGCTTGATTCGAATATAAGCATGTCATCTTTGGAAACCGTTTGGTAATCCAAAATATGGATTGAACTTTCCGAATGTGCTTCAGGTCTTTGATTTGGATCCATTTAAGCTCGGATCGAGTTGAATTTGATGTCTTTGGGTTTGTATTTCCGAGACGATCAATTCAACTATAAGTTTGTTGAAATCAGAGTTCAAATGATCCCATATTTAATTTTTGAAATTTCCAACATGATTTTTGCCCCGAGATTCGTGCCCGATCAAGATAATTTTTTTGATGACATATCAATTATTATTATTATTATTATTATTATTATTATTTCCTTGTGTTGTGCTTAGTGTATGTTTGATATAGCTTTTTTATTATTTTATTTTTAAATTACCATTGCAGTTTCATTTAGTTGTTGCTTTTTAGGTGTTTTCTAAAAATTTTTAGTGTGTTGCGAATGTGTGATAGTTTTAAGAAAATAATTGTTTGTTTTTTTAATAACATTTTTATAATGTTCATTATAATTTTAAAATATACATTTTATAAGTATAAATATTCTTATGGATATTAAATTTATTTAAATGTTTATTTGGGATAGTTTTTCAGTTGAGACAACAAACATAAATTTATTTAGCTAATGTATATTTAGTTTCCTACTACTTCCTTATAGTATTTCAAATTTTATGCGAGAAGAAATGGGTTTTTTGTAAAAAGAAAAAAACTAAGTTATTTCCCTATCAACTTTATAAAGAGCGCGCTCTAGATATCTCAAATAGACCCAAAAGTAAAAATTAATTAATCCATTTTTTAAGACGATTAAAATTTAAATATAAAATTAGTTTAAAGATAATTCAAAGTGGTTTGAACAGCTGTTGTTTTGAACTTACAATATCGTGCTGTTGTCGACAATCCGTTCAGATTCTGTCTACATTTGAGACAGCTTTTGGCCATTATTTTTTTCATTGCTTTCATTGAATTTTTGTGCTAGAGAATTGTTTTTGAAAGCAATAAGAAAGCCGTCTCAATCAAAGCCTCTCTTGTTTCACTTTTCCAAAATCACTCAGATGATGCCTCCCAGCCACAATAAGACAGTTCGCAAGCTCCCTCGCAACACATGTTGTTCCATTTCACATGGTCACCTACAATCAACACAACGATGCGGTGTGTATTTCGAAAATGGTTGATTCTAAGGACGTGTTTGGTTGGAAGTAAAATAGGTGGAAGGATTTACTTAAGAAAAAAAAAAGGTGGGTGCAAAGTATTTTAAATGTAAGGATTTTAAAAGTATTAGTATTTGATTTGATGAAAAAAAAAAGTATTGAAAAAATAGATATAGTGTAAACCATTTTGATTCATTTTTTTTAGGAAAAGTAAACTAATTCAATTTTGACTGAGAATTATTTACATCACAAACAAGCTCACTTAATCGACAACACCTACCACTGGCTACCACTGTTGCCACTAACCGCTGCCATCTATTGCAGACCACCACCACTTGCTGGCGACTACTCGCCGCCACTTGTTGACGAATGACGACTACTCTCCACCAGCTTCCACCTCCAGCCACCTATAGACACCATTACTATCATTCAACACCAGCCACCATTTATAAATTTTACAATACATTCATTTTACTTTAAATCATACAAAAAAATCACTTGTATTTACTTTATACTCATTCAAACAACTTTAAATTATTCTTTTTTACTTTTCATTTCTTTTTTAACCAGCCCCCAAGTAAATTTCTCTTCATATCTTCATCAACTATATATATTCAAACTATATTGAACTTGCTTAACATTTTTTTTTTTACTTATCAAAATAAATGTCTATAAAATGATTATATGTCACCATAAAGTTTAGTTGATCAAGCATATTCATATTCTAATTTTAATAAACTTATAATCAAAGCAAACATGTCAAAGAGATAAACATATCAACAATAAAATTGGTACTACATGCACCCATGCCATGCAATTGAATGCCCGTTGAAAATTTTGGGATTTTAATTAGAAGGCGAAATGATATTTAAATAATATGTTTACTGTCAAATTGAGCGTCTAGATTATACAAATTCACCAAGCTTAATATCATTTAATTCTGACATCATTAAAGCCCTTAAATATTAAAAAAATTATCTTATTATAAATGTGATCACTCTAGATTGTTTGATGGTGTGTTTTGAATTTTGATATTATTTACGACAAATGTCATTGCAAAAATTACAAATATGCATCCCCTGCATCAAGGGGCTATTTGGTTGCTCGAAAAAAGCATGTAATGTAAAATGAATGCTTGAAGTTGCTTGGATGAATGTAAAATAAATGCATGACTTTACTTTTTGTTTGGTATGAAGTAAAGTGAATACAATGTAAAAACTACAAGAAGGTTGTGTCTGGGGTGGTTGGCGATGGGAGGCGGCCAGCGGTGGTGATTGTAGGAGGGGGTGGCGGCCGACAATGGTGGTCAATGGTGTTGGCAATGGCGGTGCGTTTGTAATGTATTTGAAAATCACTCAAATCAGAGGAATTCCAAATACACTCCAAAAGCACTACATGAACTAATCAAAATACACTACTTTTACATCAAAATTTTACTTTACTTCAAACCAAATACCGAAATTCTCAAAAACTCTACATTTGAATTATTTTACACGTTAAATGCAGCAAACCAAATAGGCTCTAAATGGTTTGTAACGAGATTTGAGTTCCAAGAGGGCTCACATACCAACGAATGTCATTGACACAAATACTAACGCCTATCGTACATACTAATGCCGATGCACGTATTCCCTATAAGGTCGATATACACAATTACTCCATTAACATTAACTATGACAACCATCTATTTCGTTGCCAGTCGTCGCTACCAACGTCAATTCATATCATTGCCTATAAGATAGATTTATGCTATCTACACCAACCTTGAAGCCTGCTAACTCATCACTCGTTCTTGCCATCAATGTTGACACAAACCCTTACCTATAAGGCCAATGCACATTATCAATGGCCAACTCTAACTTCTATTATGAAACCTAATGTTTAGATTGAACTTACAAGTTATGGCCAAATGAATAAACCAAGAATAATCTTTGAATACATATCCATTGCGTAAAGGCCCCAATAATTTTCATCATGGTACTCATTCTATATTGTTAATGTCAACATATTTTTCAACTAAAAAGAAAAATATCTTTTGTAACTGGCAATATATGCTAATTGAATCATATTAATTGAATTAGGCATTGTAGTTTTTCACTTTTTGAGTTTTTCATATTAAAGTATTGGTGCTTCTTATAACTCTTTTTTACTGTGAATCTTCTGATGTGTAACATGTATACATCACATCTATAAGTAGATCATTTTATCTTAAATTATAATGAATATATAAATTTATCTCTCATTAGAGATATTATATTTTCATCAAAACAAAAGTGAGGGTGATATTTATTCAAATATGTTTATATGTGAAATAGAATTTTAAAATAATGCCTTAAGAGGACTAAAATAAAAATTTACATAAAACTAAATGCAATATTATTAGATAGTACTGTTGGATGTCCAATATTTGACATTATCCAAAAATATAATCAAATCTAATTTAAAAATTTCGGAATCAGGTCAACCTATTCGGGAAATGGGTCGAGTAAGGTTTAAAATCCCGACTCAATTGCAAATTTGGGTATGGTTCTGGTCAACTAGAAAAATCTAAAATAATCCCGAAACTAACCCTACCAGCGCTCTCACTCGCCCCCATAGGGCGCTCACTTGCCTCACCCTCGCACTCGTATTCGAAACCTCACATCAGCGATCCCGCACTCGCGACTTGCAGCATTGCACCTGTGCTTGCCTACCTCACCCCGGTGGCTTGTGCTCGCGCTCAAACCCTGCTCGCATCTCAGGGTTAGCAGATCAGGTCGAATCAACCCAAAAATCCGGCATGTCAGATCGGATTTGACTTTTTAACTCATTTTTCTAGTCAATTCAGATTCTAGTCGAAGCAGCTGGAGGTGGAGGTGAGTCAGTTTCGGGAACCGAAACCCAATGTTGACGACACTACATCGCTGCAAGAACCATATGGGATGTTTGGTATCGGATTTGGCTGTAGTTTTAAGTATGATTTAACGTAAATCCAGCCAAATGCATTCCCCACGTCTGTAAATTATGGGAACCTGTAAAATCTGGGATTTATAGAGATTTATGCCATAAATCCTGGTAAATCCGTGTAAATCCTAATCCCATCCTTGTCTGGATTTAACACAGTTACGGTTGCTAAAGTTCTTCCCGCGGCGCCCGTGTCGTGAAGCATCACACAAACGCTTTATCTACATGGAAGACACAACTTCATCCTCATAGTCTGCCCTAGCCGCTTCCGTAGCATTCCCGTCGGATCCCTCTCAACGTTGCGCAGGTAGATCCGACCACCGAAACTTTTTTTTTTTTTTCTTGTGCTTGACAATACCTAAAATAGTGATAATATGATACCACATCTTTTTTAGTTTATTGTTTTGGATTGTCGAATTTAGAATGTAGAGGGCTTCAAATTGGTCGTTTTAATGATTAAATACGTGAGTTCCTGCAATAAGTTTTTCTAGTATTTTCTATTACTGATGGAACATAGTGAATGGTTTATGACGTGCCTTAATGCTAAAATATTTTCCATTTGATTTATTATTAGATTTTGGACAGTAAATTAGAAAACAAAAATGAGCTTCATATGATTAATGGTAGAGTTAGAAATTCTTTATGAGCTGTATTTACATTATTTAAAAATTTAAGCTTTATTATGATGAATATTAGGCTAAATTATCAGCTAGGTTCAGAAGATAGTAGTTTTTTTTTCAGTGCTACAAAACTAGAAAACTTTTGAGTTGTACTTAATGGAACATTGCAGTAGGAACTGGTGCAAGATCAAGTAAGTTGATAGAACCCACGGTAAACTTAAATGATGACAAAACCCCACACTTCGAAGGCAAGTTCCTAGTTGCTACTGGTGTGAGCTATGACATGGAAGAAACTCCACACAACAACCTACATGATGCTGTAGTAATAGACCCAAGTCCTATGCTACGTGCAAAAAGATCTAGTGAAAAACTGACCAGGGCAGCAATATGTCCCAAGAGGAAGAATGGCTTGCAAAATCTTAATCAACTATGAGTTGAGTCGAACATGAATGCAGTTGTATTTAAAGAGACATTTGAACGAAGTGATCCTTATATTATGACTGATTGTTTGGCAAAGTTAGGCAAGTTAGAAAACTTGACAACATAAACTCTCATATTAAAGAAAATAAGAATAACAAAGCAATATTAATGACTTGGGAAGGGGATGTTCTAACTGAATGGATAGAATATGTTGTTAGTAAGCATAAGCGTTTTTAAGCGGCAAATGTTTGATTATAGTTGTTTGGTTCACATCGTTTGATTTACACACTGATAAGTTGATTGCTTCTTTTCGAGGATATCAATATCACATAATTGATTATTGAGGAAGTACAATCAGAAGATATATAAATCAACAAGAATTAATTAATCACCGACATGCCCAATTGTGTAATGTGGTAGAGAGGACCTTTAGAATTTGGAAGTAACAATTTCAAGTGTTGACGCACATGAGAAAGTTTCCTACTAATGTTCAAGCTGATTTGGTTATTGCATGTGCAATTTTACACAACTGTATAGATCAATATCATGGACATGATATGTATTTCAATATGTCACATACATAAATGGAACACAATATTGAATGTGTCGAAGTTGAAATGTCGGATGAAGATCCTAACTTGCATAAAAAACAGGAGAAAGAATTCGGGGAGAAGCAATAAAGCAAGTCATTGCAACATATATGTGGAATGCTCGGATAAGGATTTCTATATTTATTTACAATCTTTCACCTTTGAATACATTATTTAGTTATGTTTCAATTTTTTGATTTCAGATAATTGTCAAAAAAATTGATCGTCATGATGAATATACTCTCCAATGCAACAAATATCGACTTATCTATTATGTGCAGTGTACTATCATGTAGTAGTCAATCAGAGTCAAAAAAAAATCATGATGTCATGCACTCTTTATCTTTTTAGTAGTTTCTACTGTATGATGTTATATTTAGTTTATTATTTGACATAGAGTCATCTCAAAATTATAGCAGATGTATTGAAGTTACTTAACATTATTCCTTTAATTTTAAATATTCAACTACTTTAAATCCTGTAATATGTTGTAAACAACTTATTTGAATTTAAAGGTATTTAATATTTATCATATCAAATATTTTTCAGAATTTATCAGTTTAAAATTGACTAAATCCAGATTTACACTATTTACTAAATCAATCCAACCCGATACCATTAACACCAGCTAGGGTTAGTAGCAGCTCCACCATTTTTATCATCGTCGTCGGAGCGGCTGGAAATCGGCCGATCGATCGATGTCGATCCTGTGGGAGAAGAGCGAGACATGGCGGTGGATGGTGCGGAAAACGCGCGATTCAAAACGATTTTTCTTTGCCTTCGCGACGGTGTGCGGCGTCATCCCTGCTGTCATCGGCTACGGAGTTATGCAGCTTACCAATTCTCGAAACGAGCAGCTAGAAGCGCAACTCAGGAAGACTGCTCGTCCCGAATCGTTGGTATGTAGTTTTCTAGCTAACATCAATTATAACTTCATTTATAGGTTTTCTTCTCTACATTCCTTCTTTTTTATGGTTTATTTTTTATCGCAAGCCGATGATATTGTTTGTCTGTGTGTGATTTCTGGTTCTGAATCTGGTCACATGAATTTCTCTTCCTTTTAGTGGGTATAATTTTCTTTTCTCTTAGGGGAAAAACTTCGTCATTTTTTATATGGATCCATTTCTCCATGAGAAAAAAAAAACCGTCTTATTATAAGAAGTTGAATTCTGAGTAGATTATTTAATTATGCCGTTGTTGCGTATGGTGATTACTTCTACAACTACAAGAATTGTGCTGGTATGTATGAATTTGTTGAGGGAGATAATAAAAGTTTAAATCGAGTTTGTAATCTTTTTGGCTTTCTGTTTTGTGCATGTAACATTGGCTTCACATGTTTTTTATTGATCTTGAAAGACATTAAATATTGAATTCGTGCGACGAGCACTTTGAAGAAAAGGATGTGGTAAAGATAAATTGAAGTTATTAATAATGTGTTTGATGGAGCACTAATTAATATTAAAAATAATAGTGTGGTGACCAATGCATTTTTTATCTTTGTAGGATTATATAAAAAATCAATCAATATGAATTTTGATGAATCCTAACATTGCTTGATTTGACATTTGAACCAATTGAGTTATATTGGGTTTGTGTTAACTGGTCTCAAAACACGTGAACCAATTGATTTATATTGGGTTAGTGTTAACTGGCCTCAAAAACTGACGTTGTGACCCTCTATAGCAAGAGAGAGATTGTTGACAAGGAGTGATTTTAGCATGCCATTTAGTGATTAATGATTAGTTAGTGAGAGTTACATAAAGGGTTTAAGGCAAAGAAGGATCAATGAATGAACCTCAGAGATAATGAGGGATCCAACTTTCCATTAAAGAGCAGGACTAATCCATTAAGCTGGAAGATGGCCTTGCATTCACATGCTTGAGAGGAGCTTCAACAACGGTTTCTATAGAGAGCTATTATGTACCTCATGTGTTATGTGTAAGCAGTGAGCAAGAAGAATAATCATAAGAAAGTGTTAATTCAAGGATAATGATGTCACAAGGAGTAGTAACTAAGTAAAGAGCTGTTGTTGTAAGAGCAAAATATAACAGGGATCTTGTCCATTGGAAAAATAGTACAAAATTATTCATCTATCATTCATGAAAAATTATTGTGGTTGCAAATAAGGATTATTGAATGCGTTAACAAAATAATGGAGGTTTGATTCAAAAGAGGGGTATGCATCCAAAATTTGTGAGTGTTTATCCACCAAAATAATGATTAGGATTTTAGTTTTGTGGAGATATTTGTCTACTCTAATCCTTTTTTTTTTTGTCATAATATACTCGGTCAAATCATGTGTGACGCTGGACCGTGAATTTCAAAATGCTTTTCAAATTTGAGTTGGATAAATCCATGTATACCTCTTGTGGTCCTCTTCATAAAAGAACTACCTTAAATTGGCATTCATCCAAACAGGGCACAAGACAAAGGCATAACAATTGTTGAAACTTGCAACCCTCTTTAAGAAGAGAAATAAAAAATTGATGTATTGAAGCAGTAACACATTTAAGTCATATCATCTTCTGTAAGGAAAATAAGCGATAATGAGAGATGAAGATTTAGAGTTGAAGAAAGAGGGATAGAGAGAGGCATCTTTATCTAGTTAGATATCTCTCTACGTATGTTGACCTCTAGTGGCATCTTTTATGCATAATGGGTTGAATAGTTGATAATGATAATGCATTATTGTAGACCTCTATAATTGTGGATGAGACAAACCAAGACTCATAATGAAAGCCTATGTCCTGAGTGGTGCATTTGCTAATTATGGCATAATACATCGCTCCTTTGACATTCTTGAGAAGGCACTATTAATAAAATTGTTGAGAATATATTAGAAAAGTTCATAAAAGGTTATTGATCCTAATGTTAATGATAATCTTCGATGAATTTGGAATGAAGTTTAAGCCATTGGTTATCTTGCATTGTCATAATATTTGGTTGTTTTCATCAATAGATGGAGTCCATCTTTTTTTGAGTTGGATATTAGTATTTTTACTAGTTATATTGAATGTGAGTAGGCTTGGTGTATGTTTTTTGTATTTGATAATTCTAATCGCTGGGATATCTATTGAAATAAGTAAAAAGGTGAAATAAAGAGAATATATTTAAAAAATAGAGGGCTTAGAATTGATAAAATAAAGATTGAGTTTATGATATTAGAAAATTTCAATCAATATCATATGACAATAAATTGATACCTAAGTATAATAGGCAGCATATTTGATTTATTGTATAGAAGGTCGTGGATTTAGATGAGAAAAAAATTGTTTGAGTTAAGTTGAGTGGTTAAAATAGAGAAATACTTCAGGAGTGTTATATGATAAGAGAACATTAGAGAGATATAGTGACAAATTTTATAAAATGAATGATAGGTAAGCTAGTTATGCTATATGAATTTGAATGTTGGGCATTGAAAACTGCATTAGTACACTCCCTAACTAAATGCACACATTAAATAGATTTCTTAGATTCAATTCTGCCACATAGCCTGTTTAAAATACTTCTTTACTTTTATATAAGCCGTATAGGCATCCATATCACCAATGCACGAGAATTAAGAAATTAGAATTTTATGTGTGGATTTGTTTGGAAAGTATACCATTACTTCATTAAAAATGTCGTTAATATATGGGTAGGGTGAAAATGAGAATATTAAGATGCATGTGTGATAAATTTAGAAAGGATAAATTAAGGAATGATTGTTTTATAATAATTTTTGAGATCTCATTTATTCAAGATTGAAAATGTAAATAATCAGTATTTTGTATCTTAAACAATATAAAGGTTTCCTCTGTTTTTTGTGGAGCATGGCATCCTTGAGCAAGAAGCATTCACATCTTGGTAGATTCCCAAGTTTAGTATTTCAACCAAAAGAATGGCGCAGTATGTGATGAGATTGAAGGTTACAACAGGCTAAAGTAATGATATTTTAACAAGATTTTTTCCTCTAATGTCTTTATTATTAGTTTTTTCTTTTCGTATTAATTACATTTTGATTATGCCTGGAGCCCTGAACCATATAATCAAGTGGTGCGAATCCCTCAATCCCTCACCAACTTTCATGATCAAGAGGTTCATTAATCTTTGTTCCCAAGCGAAACGCTCATAATTTCCACAAACTAATTTTATTTCCCTTTTTGGATATAACAGATCCTCTTAAAATACATTTTGAGCTTGGATGTGCATGATATTTGTTATAGACATGTCCACACTAAGCTTTTCAAGCCCCATCCACTTCACCCAAAATGTGTTAGGGAAGATGAGGAGGATAAACTCCACAAGGACGAAACAAGCAAGAAAGTAAAAGTAGTCGAAAAGTAAAGGACACTAGGATTTAATGTGGAAAACCACAAAATAGAGAAAAAAATCACGAAGCCGCACCACACCAAAAAATCCACTATAAAAATTTGGAGAAATAAGTACAAATCTCTCTTCTCTCTCACCTTCTCATTGCTTCTCTTCTAACATGCACCATTTTCAATGTCTATACACTCAAAATACAAGAGAAAGACAAATAAAATAACCCCAAGGGACGCAACTCCAGAAAAATGAGAAGAAAACTGTCTAATATGTCTCGCAGCGTTGCGGCGCCAGTTTGGGGCGCTGTAGTGCTCAAGCCTCTGTCTGTATCTATACTGTTGCGGCACTCTGTTCTCTGTTGTTCAACGCTGGGGCGCTCGGGAACATAGTGCCGGGGTGCTTGGGTACTTAGCGCCAGGACGTTGTACGAGAAAAAAAAAATCTGGTGCAAGCAGGGGTTAAACCCCCCGCTCCTCTCAACGAACAAGACATGCTTTGAGGTTCGAGACAACAAAATAACTAGATTGATCAATACAATCAGATTCCACACATAACAAAATTGAGTTTTGTCCAACTGCAATAACACCTGGGGAGCTTGATATGTGTTTTTGCGTCATTTATGTAGCTCTGGGAGCATAATATCTTTAGTCATTAAATTCTATTGATGTGGCTTCCTAAGATAACTGAGATATCCGAGACAGTGATGAACTTCAATTGTTCTTGATTATTTCGTTAATTGAAACATTGATGGTGCCCAAGTGACTAAAAGTAAATCTTTTGATTGGTGAAGTTACTTTGGAGTTCAGATATTGAGAAATTATTTCGTGCGTCTCTCAGATATAAGGAGAGACATAAGAGAAGAGAGTAGGGAGGAGAGAGAAAACCGAATAATATCAATATATCATACTGGAGAAAGGTGGACCCTTTTGTAATTTTTACTTAGGTGTTACTCTTGGATCCTTAGGCCTCCTATGTTTCTCTTCTACCAATTCCTTACGCATCTTTGGAGGTGTTACGTAAGGAAAAAAAAAAAAGTGACTGCAGGACATGGGCACCTTAAAGGCTTCCCTCATAATCATTTTCGCGCTGAGGTAACCGTTAAGTAGGATGTTGTGGTCACATATCGGTTGCTAAGAGTTTAGCAACTGACCACTTAATCGTGGCCTATTGGAGTTACTGAGTTATCTGTCCAAAGTCTATCATCAGCGAAGTCATTGATTATTTCCTCTTAATTGGGCACTCGGCCCTTAGCTTTGGGCGGCTCTTGAGTGATACCAACTCCTTCCCGATTGCTGGTCTTTAAAGGTTTGAACTGTGAGCCTAAGTTGCATCAACTTGATTTGATATTGAACATTACGTTGACTATTGGAAACATCTGACAAAGAAAGGGTTCCTCAAAATGGGGACCAATCTACGGCCACAATAACCTTTATGGTTCGTTTGTAAGATTAAAGTTCTCAAATTCTTACAAGAACTCGTAACATGCATAAAATAAGTTCTCTAACTCTTGCAAGAACTCGTAACATAAGTTATGAGTTCTCTAACTCTTGCAAGAACTCGCATTATAATTATGTAAAAGAAATCAAAACGAAAACATGAATTTACATAAATCTTAAATCCAGAAGATCTTAAACAAGATGATTTTCACAAGATTTTATCGGAAGAAAATATACCTTGATTCATGTTGAATTCGTTGAATTCCAAGCTACGGTTTCTCACTCTTTTCCCTTTCACTTTCTTTCTTTCATGAGTTAATTATCCATGAAATATACTAACCCCCATAATGAGAGAGAGAGGATCGGTATTTCATTAATTATAATAATTGATCATAGGAGTTATTTGATCAAATGGTCCATAAACGATTGATCAAATTATCTCTTCTGACCAATATTATTTAAATATAAATAATTAAATTTCAATAATTCAAATATATGAACCACTTAATGGTTTATATAATTAAATATCTATACTTAAATAATTATTGCGACGTCTCGCATAATTACTATATTTAATTATTCTAACATCTGTATTTATGAATTATTTCAAAGCCTTTTAGTGCCATGTGATACTTAATACCTAAATAGCATTTTCTGAAATTCTTCAATCAAACACTCGAAAGAACTTTGTTCTTAAAAAGTAATTGAGATCTGTTTCTAAATGCAATTTAGATGATGGGGCAAATAAATCGTGAAAGATTGGCAGAATTTCTTGGCGAGCTTCAGCGCAAAGAGGACACCAATGATAGGTATGTAGCAGCTCTGAGGGGAGAGACGTTGACTAGAAAACCCTATCAGAGAATCCAACCTGTTCCCAATCCGACAGCAGAAGATGCTACCAAAGAAACAAAATAATCAAAGCTTTTGACTGATCAGAAATCCTTAATTTGTTCGCTGGAGAGCATCTTCGTAATGTAATTGTTGAAATAATCACTTTGAATTCTGTGTTAGTCAGCTTTCTCTGTTGCTATTGCTTGCTGAAAATAGTTTATCTGGTTGCTAATATTTGTAGAAATATTTTTGACATGTTTTGGTAACATTTTTTTATTTTATTTTTTTTTTCATGTCAATGGCTTATTTTTATTATACTTGAATAAGAATTTTGTACAAATATCAATATAAAAATTTAATAATTTATAACGGTGGATTGCTAGTGGATTTATTATGGGCATCATCTTGAGCACAGAACATGAGTGGTGAGGTTTAGAGCAAGTTGTGAGGATTAATTATTCTATGCGGATGCTGAGCGTCTTTAGGAGATCAATCAGAATATGTCATATCACCCTTTCGTTCGGTACCACGGCTCAATACAACTCAGTTTCATTGATGTGGCACATTTTGGTTGATCTTCGAAGGGCGTTCTGCGTCTAGCCTCCCCACAAATTAATTTTTCAGTTGCAAGGGATAAAAGGATGGCCAATGAGCGATAGAGCGAGCGAAGAGAAATGCTTCATTAGATGTGTACTAAATTTATCCAAATCTTAGGAATTTAAAACAAATATTTTAAACTTTAAAATCTTTGTATTTAAATTTTTGTTAAGTTTCATAAATTCAATCAAATATATTGAAGGGGCTATTTGATTGGCCGAAAAAAATACTTAGTAAAATGAATATTATAGGGTTGTTTGGATGAATGAAAAAAAATAAATTTATGTTAATGATTTTTTTTTTCTTGGTTAGAACTTAGGAGTAATAAATGTAGGTAGAGTTTTAAATGGTGACGGTCAATGTCGGTGGCAACTACTGTGGCCGACTGTGGATGGTGGTCAAGTTCACTTTACACTCAAAATAAATTATTTTATTTTATCTTGCATTTACTATATTTTATTTTATATCATTTTGCATTCCAATCAAATATCTAAATTTATAACATAGTTAGATTTGAAAAATAACTCAACCAAGCAGCCTCTAAATAGATTTTTGAACGGGCAGAAAAGAGGAGACTTGATGTAACAAGATAATGTAAAAATAATTATAGAAGATACCACGTGATCATATTCCAACGGGATCTTAGGTTCGCCGCGCTTGCTTCAGCGCTTTAGCCAAATGGAGCTGCTTAAATTCCCAAATGCAATAACAACATTATCATGGACGAACTCCGCCTCCGCCGCTGCCATTCGCCACGCTTCCTCTCCCGCCGTCGCTCTCACCCTCTTCAAATCCCGCCTTCTCCGCCGCCGTCATCCTGCCGCTGCCACCGATCTTCACGACTCCAACGCCGCCGTTTTCACCCTCAAGCACTGCTCCTCCTTCCCCGTTTCCTCGACCATCCGCCTCATCCCCTCCCTCCACGCCCTTCTCCTCAAAAGCAACCTTTTATCCTCAGTCCATGTCTCTTCCACCCTTCTTCACACGTACTCCCTCCTCTCTCTCCCCGACGCCCTCCAGCTGTTCGAAGAAATTCCCAACCGAAACGCTGTCACCTACAACACTATGATCACCTGCTACGCTCGTCACAGCAACATCTATGCAGCCCGCGAAGTGTTCAACGAAATGCCTCAACGAGATATTGCCTCTTGGTCCGCCATTATCTGCGCGTACTTACATAGTGGTAATCCTTCCCACGCCTTTTCTCTATTCCGAGAAATGAATCTAGGTAGAAAGATCAAACCTGACGCGCTTATCCTCGTGGCCATGCTTTCTGGTTGTGCTGACAGCGGTTCGTTGGGCTTTCATGGTAAATCTATCCATGCTTATATGGAGAGGAACCACATGGATGTCAGTGTTCAGCTTGGAACTTCTCTGATCGACATGTATGCTAAGTCTGGTTGTTTGAAAAATGCTTTTTTTGTTTTCGAGAGAATGCCTGAGAGGAACGTTATGCATTGGACTGCCATGATTTGTGGTCTAGCTTCTCACGGGCATTGCGATGAGGCCTTGGCCTTTTTTGAGAGGATGAAGGCCACTGGTGTTAGGCCAAATGAGATAACTTTTACGGGTGTCCTGAATGCATTTCGGCATGCTGGTTTGGTTGAGGCTGGTTATAGTTACTTCTGCAACATGATGAATGAATTTGGTTTTGAGCCGGGAATTCACCATTATGGCTGTATGGTAGACCTGTTTGCAAATTCTGGGAGGATACAGGATGCTTTGTCTTTGATCCAGAGCATGAAGGTTGAGCCAAATGTGGTGATATGGACTTCGCTTCTGTCAGCTTGCAAGAGATATAGGAACTTTGAGATGGCAGAGAAGGTGATTGCGGAGGTTCTTTTGATTGCTGAACCAGATGATGATGGTGGAGTTTATGCCCTTGTGTCTGATTTATATGCATTGGGTGGCAGGTGGAATGATGTTCAGAAAGTGAGGGGGTTGATGGAAAGGCTAAATGTGAAGAAGAAAAGAGGATCTAGCTTCATTGAGATGGAAAATTTAGAGGATAATGTAGCATCCAGTAACAAAGGATGAGTTCCTAACTAGTTTTGATGAATTCTAATGGAATCACGGGAAAGATTCAATTTTGTTTCAATAATTATAGTAAAGCAAGGAAAGCAGGAAGTACAGGCTATAAAGTCAAGCTGAAACAACCATTTAGAGAAATATCAGGTTGGCTAAAAAGCATGCACAAGCCATGGTCTTTGTCGATGCAGTTGCACAAGCTTGGAGATCAAGTTAGAAGAAAGGCAAAGTCAGTTTCATCGAAGCATGTGGCTTGCTTATCTGAAGGACGTAGCCATAAGGTAATTTAAAATTTTTCTAGAAAGCTGTTTTTTAATCCAAAGAGTAATTTCACTTCGACCTGCAAGTTTAATAAAATTATTTACACAAAATTACTTGATGCAGGAGTGGCAAAAGGGAAGTCAGAGACTCAATTTTGGAGTTAGCAGGGATGATTGGTTAATTTACTCCCTTGTTGTGATGCTTGATTCTTGCGGTGGTTAATAATTTCACAATTTTATAAAAAAAAAACTATATGCTTGTCGATTCAAAGATGTTTGAGGTTACATTATTGATTTTGATTTCTACATTAAATAGTCTAATACTCACTTTGGTTGAGTAAATCTGTAAATTTATGAAGGAAATGTTAATTTTGATCAATAAACCCTTTTTTATATTAATATCTCAATCAAAACTCACTTTTCTATCCCACCAGCAATTGCGAAGGGGGTTTTAAACGTTCTTTTGATCAGAGCTTGCTCATCATATCAGTCAACGAGCACTTTTCAACAATGGTAAGTTTGAACTTTGTGGACTTTGGGCTGCTCGTTTTGCTAGATTTTACAACATTGGATGGCTAAACCACCATCAGAGCGAGCTAATCACAGGTCTACGGAGGACAACTCAAGTAACAATGCTTAATCTCTTAAGGAAATGTTTATTGTATCATCATATTTGATGCAACCATGGACCATTTGATTTAGCTATTTGGATTCTCGCAGTTATCCTTTTATTTACAATGTTTATTTAGTTTTGATTAATTAACTTTTACAAATACCTTTGTTAATTGTTATAGTTAGTTAAGTACTTGGCTTGCTTTTCTTCTCTCGGTTATGTATGGTGGCAGGAAAGAGGTCACGGTAACCTTTTTTTTTAATAATCGTAGAAATTTTGCTTCATTATCGAAGGAAGCTCCCCTGGTTTTTCCCTTGGTCTCATTCTTTCCCTTTTACTGTAGGTTTTTACACCATATTGGTATGAGAGAAGCAATGGCGGGCAACAGTGACCACAGAGCTGACAATGGTGAACACAGTTGGGACATCCAATTGGAACAACTGCAGCGACCATCTCTAATTAAGAGAATACACCATACAACAAGGCTACCTCTTTAAAGGTTTAAAGGTAACCAGTTATGCAGACCTGACACTTTGCTTCATCAATAACTCACTAAAGAATGTCACCGTGGAGGATTTACTACTCATACCGGCAAGGACAAGGCATTATAGCTTATGCAATCCAAAGTTTTTTGGCCAAGAAGCCGGAGGGACGCCTGTATGAATTGCCAAAAGGTTTAAGGAAATATGTCAAACCAACGGCTTATACAGCCCCCTACTAGCGCCTGATTCCATTTGTAAAAATCTTAGCATTGAGTTTGTGTTATGACTGCCTTAAATTGCATGAGGTATGAACACAGTCATGGTTCTCCTTGACCATTTAAACAAGATGACTCATTTCCTAGCTTGTAAGAAAATCTTTGACATCGGAAACACAACCATGCTCTTCTTTTAGATCTTAGCATTGATTTTGTGCTTTTTAGTCATGCCTTTCGGGTTAACTAATGCCTCTGTTGCAAAAGATGGCTGGGAGTGAGAGAAGCCAGAATAATGACCTCCACCAATGCTTGTTAGATATAGATCTTTTTGAGCTCCCTTTTAAGGTAAGGGCCTGCTCTACACTTGGTCCAACCATGGAGATAGTGAGCAAATAATTGCCAGCAAGCTTGACACAGTGTCAGTTAATTACAATAGGCTTGCTACTTTCTTGAACTCGGAGGCATACTTCACAGGGCCAGGTATTTCCGAGGGCTTAATTATTCAAGATGAATCCTCTGGAAAAGTGTATTAAACAACGACCTCAGTGATCGATATGCTGCTACTTTGCTAGCTGAAAAAAAGTACTCTAGCTTGAGCCACAACCCTTAGTTGTTGTTTCATTGTTTGTGGACTGAGAAAAAGTAGCACACCTAAGTAAAGAACTGTTACAAATAATGAAGAAACTAATAGATTTAGGTAAGAAGCAAGATAAAAGAACTTGTGTTTTATAGCTAAATATTCGGTTTGAATCTCCCCCTAAGATGTTACCACTGAACTGACATTTTGTGCTCTTCGAAACCTTTTTCGAAAAGTATGATGATAATCCTCAGAGATTTATGGATTTGATGAAAAAGTTTTTAGGTTGTGTTTAGATAGATTTGTAATAGTATTCATTGATGATATTTTTATATATTTCAAGAGCGATGAGGAGCATGCCTGCCATCTCTGGACAAGCTTAAATATTCTTTGGGAAAATAAACTTTATGTAAAATTCTCGAAATACGAGTTTTGAATTCGAGAGGCAGTGTACCTTGGACATATTGTCAGCGAAATTGGAATTTGTGTGGATCCTTCCAAAGTCAAAGCCGTAATGGATTGGCTGAGGCCGAGCACTATCACCAAGATTTGTAGTTTGTTTGGCCTAGTTGGTTATTATAGACACTTCGTGGAAAGCTTTTCTAGTATTACTGCACCTCTGAATAGGTTGACTCATAAGTCTGTTAAGTTCATTTGGTATGATGCTTGTGAGTAGAATTTTTAGAAGCACAAGAACTACTTAATGTCGCTAGAACTACTTAATGTCGCTCCTGTTCTCACCATTCTTTCTGGTACCAATGGATTTCATATTTATAGTGATGCTTCACACCAAGGATTGGGATGTGTCATAATGCAACATGATAAAATAGTAGATTATACTTCCAAACAACTCAAGGTGCACAAGAATAGTTGTCCTACACAAGACTTGGAGCTAGCTATAGTTATTTTTCGCACCAAAGATTTGGAGGCATTACCTTTATGACGTTTGCTGTGAGGTTTTCACTGGTTATAAAAGCTTGAAATGCATCTTTACTCAGAAAGAATTGCGATGGCTCAAGTTAATGAAGGACTATGATTTGCATATTTAATACCATCCGGACAAAGCTAATGTGATGGCATATGATTTAAGCAGGAAGTCTTCATCTTATGCAGTATGGATGCTCACTCAGGAGCGATTGTTAGTGCATGAAATGGAGCGACTTCAGCTTGAGATAGTACTAACATGGGGCATCCCCCCTGTTGTTTGCCACATATCTTTAAATGGTGATTGTTGATCGGATTCATGAAGCTCAAATGGAAGACATTGTTGATGCATATAAGAAAGCAAATTCAGAAAGGATTGAAGCCATATTTTACTATTGATCAGATGGGTGCATTAAAATCTAAAGATCGGTTATGTGTTTCTCATCTTACTCTATATTCAATCCAACAAGGGAGGACGAAAATATATTAAGATCTCAAGAAGCTATTATGGTGGCTTGTTATGAAGAATGATGTGGCAGAGTTTGTAGCTAAGTACTTGACGTGTCAGATGGTCAAGCCAGACCATCATATCTGGTGGTCTATTGCAAGCTATTCCTAGTCCAGAATGAAAGTAGGAGGAGATTGCTATGTACTTTGTAGTTGGCTTGCTAAGATCAAAATAAGTTCATGATGCAATTTGGGTCATAATTGATAGACTTATTAATTTACTTTCTAACAATCAAGCATAATTACTCAGTTAAAAACTTAGCAATGATCTACATGGATAATATCATCCGATTGCATGAGATTCCCCTAGTCATTATGTCAGATAGAGATGGAAGATTCACTTCAAGATTATGGAGAAATGTGTAGAAGCTTTGGGTACGAGATTGGATTTTAACTCAATTTTTCATAAGCAAACAGACGGTCAGTCAGAGTACGCCATTCAAACATTAGAAGATTTGTTGAGATCCTGCATTCTTGACTTTGGTGGAAGCTGGGAAGATTACATTCCACTTGTGGAGTTTGCTTACAACAACAACTTTCAAGCTAGCATCGACATGACATCATATAAAACTCTTTATTGTAGGAATTGCAGATCTCTTTTGTGTTGGTTTGAGATCGGTGAGAGGAAACTTTTAGGACATAAACTGGTGGATTAAGCTACTGAGAAGATTCATTAAATTTGAGAAATGCTTCTTTCGGTTAAGGAGCATTAGAAAACATATTTTGATCCTAAGCGTATAAATATTGAATGTGATGTTAGTGATCATGCCTTTCTTAAGGTTTTGTCCATGCGGGGAGTTACCAGATTTGACAAAAATGGAAAGCTTCAGCCCCACTTCATTGAACCTTTTGAGGTGTTTGAGAAAGTCAGTAGAGTTTCTTATAGATTGTTTCTTCCCCCAAGGTTTGCAGAAGTGTGTAATATTTTTATGTCTCCCTTCTCCAGCGTTATTTGCTCGACAGTTATTATATTATTCAATTCAAGCCACTATTGATTCAAGAAGACTCGAGCTATGAAGAAGTACCAGAACATATTTTGGAATGTGAGGTTCGACAGCTTCGTTGGCGATCTATTCCTTTTGTCAAGTGCTTTGGAAGAACTAATCAGAACGAGAAGCAATTTGAGAGATTGAAAAAGGGATGATCGCTAATTACCCATAGCTGTTTTAGAACTAAGGTATGGATTTCAGGATTAAATTCTTTTAAGGGGGACCGGGGGTATTATGTAATATTAGAGCATGGACCGACTGTTCTTTTGACATTATTCATAAGAACCGACCAAACTAGCTTGTTCCCCTTCACGCATGCGAACGCCCTTCGCCTGGATCGCAACGCACCGCGCGCAGAAGCCACCCCTCTTCATACTCTCAATTCCCTCTCTCTCCAATCACACAAATCGCGATTCTTTCCCTATTGGATTGATTCTCCAGCCTTGGCTACCTTCCTCTTGTCTTTTAATGCAGTTAAGAGAAACATAGGGCATCAAATCTCCTCCCTCCTCTACTGCAGCAGCCACCTAACCTCCTCCTACCTCTTTTGAAGTGTCGACGCCAAAGAAAGGCCCTCCTTGTAAGTTAAAAAATTTATTTCTCTTCAATTAAAAAAAAAAAACAAAAAAATTCCATTCCTTCCGTCAAACTTGGAGTCTGCTAAGGGAATTTTTATTGCGTCCTCCCACACCTGACGTAGAGTTACATCAGGTAGCCTATGATATGTCGCCACGTGCACTTTCTTTTTACCGCGCGGCCCGACGACCCGACTCGGATTGAATCCGGGATTACTATGTTCGCATATTGCTTGGTATTTGCTCGGTATTTGCTCGGTATTGCTAGGTATTACTCGGTATTGTTTGACAATAACAAGAAATAATGCTCTATGAAGACCAATACCGAGCAATACAAAGCAATATCGAGCAATACCTAAAAGAACTCGGTATTGCTCGGTATTTCTCGGTATTGGTCTTCACAGAATAGTATTTTTCATTTTTGTCGAGCAAAATCGACCAATACCTAGTAATACCGAGCTACGCAAACTCCTGGGTCCGTTACGGGTCGGGTCGTCGGGCCGCACGGTCAAGAGTAAGAACACGTGACGACATATCATAGGCTACCTGATGTAGCTCTACGTCAGGTGGGAGGACGCAATAAAAATTCCTGCTAAGGGCCATAAATGTTTTCTTTTTGTCTTGGTATCTAGGAGGGATGATATTTTATTTGATTTTAATTATGCTTATGCATTTAATAATTTTATGGTTGCAGTCATTCATGTTTGTTAAATTTATCGTTATGTTAGACATATTTAATTCTTTATTAAGTATAGATCAACATTTGTAGGACCTTCTGAGTTGTTTCCCTCACAGCTTTGTATGTTGAATGTCTAGTAGGTTTGGAATTTCATGTTGTTCACCCAGAGATAAATAGCTATTATTTATTTTGAGATAAATATTCTCTTTCTTCATTGTGAGCGTAATTCGTGCTATTTGATTTTAGGTGTTTTGATAACTGTTTAAACTGCCAATCATGTTATTGCAAATTCTTCTATTTTATGCATATGCTTATAATAAACTAACAAGTTTGATACATAGGTCATTCTTGATGTATCGTTGCACAACCTCCCTTACATTAAATTTTGTAATAATCATTGAATGCAATAAATATCATATTTATAAATCATATTATGTTATGAAATGATAATCCTCATATTGAAAATATAACACTTGTTGAAAATTATTCATGAAAGCTTGGAAGCTGTAAACATGTGTGCAATGGTATATAAGTCGGTAGAACCCTATTGGATTTTGGCTAGTCGGACCGACGGGGCCCCAGAGTGATGACTTTATAGGAAATCATTGAATTTTCTTAGATTGTTGTTTTACCTTCTCGGTGATGGTGATGGGTATTTGATAAATCGAGTTTTGTTAATATATATGAATGTTTTTGGGCATGAGTTGAATTAAGAAAATGATGAATAAGTCATTTTGAGGTATGAAACTACCTAATGCGGTGTATTTGTAAGCAATACAATGATTTGTCATTAGTTTCTATTTGACATATACACCAACTTATTAGAATTTGCCATAATAGACAGGACATGTCATTATTACTTTGATATAGTGATCATATGTTACACAACTCATCTTGGTCTATTGGTTGAGAGTTTAGGCTTCCAACTAAAAGGTCTTGGATTCGAGTCTTTGTGTATGCGTTCTGTGTGTGTATTTGTCTTAAATGACCTAAATGTCCCAAAAAAAAACATGGCTTATGCAAAATCATCAAATCACACTGTGGATATTGCTATCATACATGCAACCTAAGAGCTAACCAGCCAGCCAATGGATAACTGACCTTGACTCTACTTCAAGAAGTCAGGGAAAAACCAAACGGTCTAATAAAAATTATAAGTGGGCAGCAGACAAGAAGAGGGGAAAGAAAACTTTTGAAGTTGGAGATCTTGTCATGTTTCAGCCCCGAAAACTTGGGTTGTTTTCAATCTCCAAAAAAATCAATGATAATGCTTATTTTGTGTCATTGCTCTCTAATCTTAATTCCTTCTCTAATGGACGGGATAAATTATTACGTGCAGAAATTGGACATAGATACCCGTCTGATTTATCTCTGTGAACAATAAAAACGCAATACATTGTACTTTTAATGTTAACAGAAACAAAACTGAATGATTATCTACTTCTTTGTGTCTGATCTTCACACGTAATAATCTCTCGATGGACGACGGATACAGCTCTCCAGGAATCATTTGACGTAGCTATAAAATTCTTAGCATTTTTCATTTAATTTCAATGTTTAATTTGTTTTGTGTTAACCTTATCAATACCATAGTTAATTGTTATAGTCAATGAAGATGTTTAGCCTACTTTTATGCTTTCAATCATGTATAGTGAGTATAAATTCCCACTAGAAAAAAAGTCACAGCAGCTTTTTTAGAGGTAATATTCAGATTTTTTTTCTATATAATTATCAAAGGAATATCTCCCATGATTTTTCCCTCGCCTCCTACTTTCCTTTTACTGTTTGTTTCTACACCATTATTCATGGAAAATATGTTAGTTTATAAATACCATTGTCTATCTCAAATCTCAAAATTTGTATTAGGGCATCTCCAACCGAGAACGCGATTTTTCACGGCAAAATACAGCAAAACTCCAAAATGTCGTAATTCTGCTCCAATCGAACTTCATTTTAGGTGCTTTTGCGAAGGTAACGATCATTCTCCCCTTTCATGAGTTTTTTCGCCAAATTCGGTTGAAAAAGTAAAATAGCGTGGGTGAACAGTGCAACACCAATATTGACGTCGCAATGTTCACTCGTAAGTAAATGACGAAAAATTTGACGTTCGGCTGAAGCTACTGAACGACGCCATATACACGTTTAGCATTCAGTTGGAGATGCTCTTAGAAAACTGAAAGCAGCTAAATTTTTACAATAATTTACAATGGCCTGCAGACAAGGTGTTTGCCGTGATTCCCTGCAGAGCAGCAGCTGAATTTTCATGAATCGATTTCAAAATAACAAAACAAATCAGTATAAGAACCAAATGCCTACATTTACATGAAATCTCAATTAAAGATCGAATTTTTCCCATTTCAACACGCTCACGTCGGCGACGAATCGGTTGCAACCGACGATGCGGCATCCGAGCCAGTGGTGTAATCACTAAACATAGACATCAATCATCCCCATCGAAGCTCCGGCCGAGGAAGTGTAAGTGAACCTGCAACTCTCCAGCGGCGGCGCATAGTACATCGGCACTGGCAACGTCGACGGCAGTTTCGGCAGCGGAGCTTCGTTCTTTAGCGCAGCCATGGCCTGCCTTATCGATGGCCGCAACGAGCTGTCCGGGTGCGAGCACCACAGCCCAACGATCATAAGCCTGGTCATCTCCCCATCGTCGAACTCTGAGTTCAGTCGCTCGTCGGCGGCCTCAAGCAGCGCCCCTCTCCCATACAGTCCCCACACCCACGACACTAGCCCAATCTGTTCTTCCGTTTGCTTGGGCTCGACGGGTCGTCGGCCGCAAGCGAGCTCGAGAGCCACGGCTCCGAAGCTGTAGACGTCGGACTCCTTGCTGGCCTTCCCGGTTGTAACAATCTCCGGCGCCAGGTAGCCCATTGTTCCGGCGAGTGTCGTCGTTTGCGATCCCCGTTCATGGTCGACGAGCCTCGCCAGACCGAAATCGCCCAGTTTGGCATTGAAGCCACCGTCGAGCATCACGTTGCTCGGCTTCACGTCGCGGTGAACCACACATTGCTCCCATTCCTCGTGCAGGTATAACAGAGCGCATGCAAGCCCCACGGCAATCTTGCACCTGTAGATCAATTCCAATTCATACTCTACCGAAAACAGAACACACAAAAATCTGGAGGAAAAAAAAAAGTTTTATTTTTTCCTCTCACAACTTTGTTTAGTTACCTCAAAGGCCATGACAAATATCTCTTGCTATCTCGGCCATAAAGATAGGAATCAAGGCTTCCGTTGGGCATGAACTCATAGACGAGGAGGAGCTCCTTCCTGTCATGGCACCATCCGACGAGCTGCACCAGGTTGCGGTGGCGGAGGCGGCTGATGATCTTCACCTCAGAAATGTACTCCTTTTTCCCCTGTTGTGAACCTTTTGAAACCCTTTTGATTGCAACGTCGAGCTTGAACTCGGGTAGGAATCCCCTATATACGCCGCCGAACCCACCTTGTCCGAGCTTGAGCTCGTCGTCGAAGTTCTTCGTCGCCGCCGCGAGCTCTACGAAGGGAAATTTCTTTGGCCCTCTCCCATTCTCAAACTCACCGTCGTCAATATCTTCAGCATAGTCTTGTTTTCTCTTCAAGTCGTCAGCTTTTTTCTTTTTCCATAGGAAGAACCAAATGAAGATTGCAGCAGCCAAGAGCAAGACTATGATAATCGTCATTACGGCCATCGAACCAATTCTCTTCTTCTTTCCTGTACGCAGGGGAGTGGAGCCAAACTCCCATGAAAGGATGCTGTTGGTCTCCGTCAGACTCCCCGTTGCGGCTGCGAATCCGATCGCGACCTCCTCCGGCAGTATCTTGCTGAGGTCAACGATGTGGTAAAGGCTTGAGTTTCCTGCAAAGATTGGATTATCGTCGTAAGTCAAGAAGACGCTGAGATTCATGGTGGTGGCGTTGTAGCTGATCCAGGCGTTCGCTGTCCGGCCATCTCTCAAGCTACTGTTCCACATGACGCTCGCCGCTGACTTGATGGAATTGACGTTGACGCCGACGTGGTCGGCGCTGGGATCCCATTCGTTCTTGTGAGTGTCGAATTCGACCGCGACGATTTGGTTGGCCGATTCGTTGAGTTTGTTGCTGTTTTCAACGAGGCCGAGTAGCCCACCGCCGGAGTTCGGGGGGACGACGGAGGGAAATGGGGAGAGGAAGAAGGCGAGGCCGTCGCCGGAGTAGGATTTGTTGAAGGAGTCGATGACGAAGGAGAAGTGGGTGGTGAAATCGGCGACCTTGCCGGTAGCGGCGTCGTGTAGGGGAAACTGTTCCCTGTAGTAGGCTCTGCCTACGCTTGAGGAAATGTTGTTGTACTCATTTTTGGTGAGACTGATGACGCGGTTGAAGAAGCTGTCGTTTTGGAACGCGATGAACTGCTGCGTGGATGAGTTGAAGGAGGGGAAGCTGAAGTAGAGTGATGTTGCAGTTGGGAGCACGAGGTAGACGAAGAGGAAGAACAGAGAAGAAGAATAAGAAGAAGAAGAAGAAGAAGCCATTGTTGGCTAGCAGAGGAATGAAACCATTTTTAATTTGGTTTGAGCGAGTCGATTTGAGAGTGAGGAAGAAGTTTTAGAAATCTGTGTATTGTGCAGTAATTTCATAATTATTTTTATTTTATGCACAGCTCAACTTGACCTCTTGATTGAGAGCTTATATTTTCAACTAAGAGGTCTTAGACTCGAGTCTTTGTGTATGTGTTGTGTGTGTGATTTTATCTTAAATGACCTAAATGTCCAAAAAAAATTTATTTTTATAAAACGTTGTAGTCATCTAAATAGATCCTTAGATCATTTGGGACAGCCAGCGCAATTATAATTTTTATTTTACTAATATTTATTTGGTGCTTTAGTAAATTTATATGATTGGAAGTTATTTTTTACGTTAGTTTTTAAAATATTAATTTTCTTACAATAATTTTATAATTACTCTGATAAAAAAAGTTGAAGTCATCTCACATGGAGCCTTAGTCCTATATGTGTTGAAGGATGGGTTGGGGTATTAGATAAATTATTAGGTCTGATCATCGGATCTAGAGATATGTCTGAATATTAATAAAATATTATTTTAAGTTAAGCCTGTCAAAAGTGCAGTCAAAGCGCAGTAAAAGCATAGGTAAAGCATAGTCAAAGCGCACCTAAAACACAGTTAAAGTGCAGTAAAAAGGCACAGTCAAAGCGCAGGCGTCGTGGCAAGTTTTTTATTGGATGTCCGGTCTAATAATTTGTCAGGGTATTAGGGCATCTCTAACATAACTGTAAATGTATGTTTGCAACTACTGCGAGCCTCCACCCGAATACAAAAAAAAAATATGTATTTTTTTGCTGCTGTAAATAGTGCGATGTCAATATTAGCATCACATTATTTACATAAGTTTTTTTTTTTTTTTTTTGTGAAAATGAAGATAAGAAAGAATTTACATATAATATGTATTTTCTTGTATTAGAAATGGAGTTTAGTTTAAGATGAATTATTGTTTGATATGATTATTATTGTATTTTGAAGTGAAAAAAATGAAAAGTTCAATTCGGCATGCCCTTAGTCAAGATAGACTTTAAATTGAAGAGATGGGCATGGGCGAAATAGGATTTAGCCTTTTCCATTCAATTTTTCTTTAAAATTGGAACTTAGTAAAATATTTTCATTTGTATTTTTAAAAATTTTCTTTATAATTTAAAAATAATTATATTATTATATTTATAATTGTTTATATTACATATAATCACTTTTTGTAGTTATTTTAATTAATATTATGAAAATTGTATAATTAAATATTATTAAATATTGTGTGATATGATATAATTCTTTTTAATTGAATAAAATATGAGATGTTTTAATGTAATCCTTTTCTTAATTGTATATTTTTAATCATAAATAAACTTTATGCATTGAATGATTCTATGGCATTTGAATAATGTGAAATACTTTGTCATTTTATTTTAAGTTTATATTATATATTAATTAAAAAATTATAAGAAATTTTTGTAATAGTCCAAAAAGTTATTTTTTAAGCTAAGTACTTCTTGATTTGATAGAATTTGTATATACATATTTGAAAGCTTGATTATTATGCATATTTTCATTATGAGTAAATTAATATTTTTTTTTTGTTTAGAAGTTATAATTAATGAATTCTCTCAATTTATGATTTTTGACCTTTTTTTGTTTTTAATCTTAAAGCAACACATTATTTTTTTAATAGTGTTTTAAAAATATTGGATTAAATTTGGCATATGAAAGCTAGTATTGAAAAAAAAAATGAAAGCTACTATTGATATAGCATATCCTGCCCTTTGGAGGTTAAGGATTTTTTTGTTATCACTTTTTTCTTCTTTCTAAATTAAATTTTTAGTTCAAAAATGTTTTGAATTAAAAATATTTGTGCTAGAAAGCTACTTTAAAAAGCAGTATGAAAGTTGTTCTAAATGAAGTTCAATTGCACCAATTTGACTCATTTTTTATAATTTTTTTTAAAACATTGGATTAGAGATTGTCCACTATGAAAGTTGAGAAATTATTCTGTGCAGATACGGATGTCGTTCGAAGGCAAATAAGAACATGCCAGGTCACCCTGTACATAGCCGCGGTACACAGAAAAAATATGATATGGCACATTCATATTTGCCTTCGGACGACATACGTATCCGCACAGAATAATTTCACATGAAAGTTGCAATTGATATATTATATTATGTATTTTAGAGAGTAGAGGTATTAGATTTGACTTATATTAAGAAAGGTAGAGGTAGACCTAAAAAGACTTTGTTATAAAATATTAAAAACGACTTTTCTTTATTTGATTTAAATGATAATTTAATCCTTAATAAGACATAATGGAGATAAATGATTCATTTAGCCAATCCCACGGTGGGATAAAGGCTTGGTATTGTTGTTATTGTTCAAAAAAAAAAAAAAAAAATAACAATAAAAAAAAAAAAAAAAAACATTACAATTTTACTAATTAATATTTCAACCAAAGCTTAAAAAGACATTAAAGTAATAAATACCAGACAAAATTAAATTAATTACTAATCATGCGAATGCTATCTCTAGCTTCCACTTGTCACTCGTGCAAAGCTCAACGAGCGAAGCAAATGAAATGCCAAAGGAAGAATGAGACCACAAATAAATTTTATGGTTCATAGGGATAGTGTTAAGAGATGGATTTAGAAGATGATTGGCGGTTTTGATAGGACACATGATGAGTTCAAATTCTAGACAAACGTCTAGTAAAAGAAAGATCATTACGTGCAGAGTCTGAACCAGAGAGTCGTCCGGTTTGTAAGTGTGAGCGGTAAAAGCATAGTTATTGTTCACTGTTGTGCTTTTATTGTGCACACTCACAAAAATCGGATGCAGCTTCAATCTAGACTCTGCACGTAATAATCTCTAATAGTAAAATAGCTAGTTTGCAATTAAAAAAAATAAAATATAATAAGTCCATATGGCATTGCAACCTCCTCCGTTGGCCATCGTGTCAACACATGGCATGGAGGTGACTTGTTCTATTTCTCTCTTTTTTTTTTTTTCCTTTCGATTATGCCTAATTCAGTTTAATATGGGTTCAATTTAAAAAAAAAAATTATGGGAAGGAAAAGCAAAGCCCTATTTATGATTTTACTAATCTATAGTTCTCATAATAATAGTCTTGCCATAATTTTATTATTTTGATTATGCTTATAATTTTTATTTGGTGTTTTATATGTGATGTGTAATATATGTATGTGATGAAGCCCGGCTATGCTTCACAGTGATAGATACATGCAATATTTTACGTAAGAGGCTGGGTTGGCGAGCATTTTTTGTAATATAAGGTCATGGCTTCATTTGAGATAGCTTTCTTATTGATTCTTAAAATAGATTTAGTACAAAAATTAAAATCTTTGTACTAAGAAACTGTTCTAATAAGCAGTAAGAAAGCCGTCTCAAATTAATCCTAAGTATAAACTTGATAATATAATAAATAATGAGTTGTAAGGTTTGATTAATTTTTATATTAGTTGATTGGCTCAAGGTGATTATTTTGTTTTTTTTCTAAATAAATAGAACATGATGAGGAGAACAATATGTTCATGATGTTTCTATATATGATTTAATTAATGCTAATTTTAATTGAGAGTTTTTCTCCTATTGTCATGATTTGATTTAATGTGGCTTACATCTTTTAGAGCTATGAAAGTTGTAAAGGTGTTATTAGAACAATGGATTTGAAGAAATTAAAAAAAAAAAAGTATAGAAGCATATGTTGATCATTAGATGATTAATAGAGATTGGATAGCTTAAGGTTGATATTAAAAGTATATAAACATAAGTTGATCATTATATGATTAATAGAGATTAGATAACTTAAGGCTGGTCTTATATATATAATTGTTGCATATATGTTGTTATGGAATGATATATTATTGTTGGCTCGATAGCAATAAATAATTTATATATGTTTTAGAATATATATAATTGTTCACAATGGCGGAGCCAGAAATCTTTTATAACGGGGGCACAAATTATGTGCGTGAAATATGAGATTTTTGGTAGGGAATGAAACTTTTTTTTTTTTCGACACGAGAGAAGTAAAAAAAGAAGCTGAACAAAGATTGAAAAATTTAAGCTCTTAAAGCACCATCAACTTAAAAAATTATAAGATAGTTTCCCTCAAGAATGCTCTTGCAAAGGTCCTTTGAAGAGCCCTGGATAACTCATTTCAAAATATGTTTGCCCAAGGCCATGCATTCATCTTGCTTAAGAAATCTATTAGCTATTGCATCCACTTAACCTCTGCTTGAGAGACCTCAAGCTCAAATCCACCTCTTTCCCTAGTTTCCTATGCATATAAAGGACATGATGAAGATTACAAGACCAAAGATATCCCAATCATTGATGAAAATGATCCAAGTTTTGTTTGGCCATGCACCATATTTATGGTGGTATACAATACATCATCATAGTCTAGATTAATGTCCTATGATTCTTGTAGCTATCATATGATGATTGAAACTTAGTACTTAAGTTAATTACCACTATATCAATAACATTAATTCTCACATTACATATAGCCACGATGCTTTAAAACACTATAGGAAAATCAACGAATGCTGGCAGGATTTTTGGCGGCAGAGCACCACATAACATTTTGGCAATAATTTTTGTACATGTTGCCTCTGCCGACATAAAACTTTGATACGAGGTGACAGGAAGCATTCCTCGCTCTGCCCGTCGGTCACATCTAAACACAAAATCTACCGGTAAGCCGCTGAAAATTTGTCGAAAATATTTACCGGCGAAAAAACCAGCATCAAATTATGTTTCCTACGCGGTTTATGCCGGTGAAATTTTTTTCTGCGGAAACGGAGATATCTGATGGAAAAGTCTCAATTTTTTCCGAAAAAATCTACATATAATAGGTGATTTTTCTGTGGTGAACGGTCAACACATCTCAGCCACTCCCTAGCAATAATCATAGCTTCGGGGCATTACAGTGTTGCACTTTAAACTGGGGCGGAACAAGCCTCTTTTTTTTTAGGGTGGACAAAATAGGATTTCGAAATACATAATTTTAAGTAT